AAAGGAAAAAATGAAGAAAAAAATAAACAGAGTCTAAGAGAAATGTGTGACAACAGTAAACTCACCAGAAGGAGAGAAGAAACAAAAAAACAAAGGCCCCCACAAAAACTAATTAAAAATAATGATTGAGAATTTCTCATATTTGTTGAGAAACAAAATTTTGCTGAGAAACACCCAAGAGGTCCAACAAACTCCAAGTAGGAAAAACACAAAGAGAGCTTTATGAAGAAATATCAGAGTGAAAATGTTCAGACATTTTTGTCTACATTGAAAATTTCAAAGAGCAAAATTAAGCTGAAATAAAGACAATGTCAGATAAACAAAAACTAAAAAATAATGATTATAAGCAAACCCAACTAACAAGAAATTTGAAGAGAATTTCTCCAGGCACAAAGGAGATTGTTGGGAACAAAGATGAATTGGAGCAAAGATATGACAGCAGATAATAACTCAAATCTAAGAAATAAATGTAAAGGTTACTATAACTAATGCTACAACTGCACATTTGTTTTCTTCTCTTCTCTCAGCTCCTCATAAATTCATATTTATAAAAATGTCAGGTTTGTAACATTTATAGATATAATATGTGTAACAATAGTGGTACCAAAAGTCAGAAACAAAAACTACATAGGAGTAATTTTTCAATATGTTACTAGAATTAAGCTAGTATAAATCTGAAGTAGACTCTGATAAATTAAGCTAACATATATAGCAAACCACTAAAAAATTATCCAAAAATACAGAAAAAATTAAAAAAGGAAATGTAACACTAGAAAATATTCATTATTGCCAAACTAAGAAATGAAGAAAATAGATAAAAAAGGATTAGACGCAGAAAACAAAATTTCAAATGGCAGATACAAGTATATCAATAATAACATTAAATATGAGTAAGTTAAACAATCCAATAAAAAGGCAGAGTTTGTCATATTGGATGAAAAAACAAGAACCAACTCTATACTATTGCAGGTAGGCACACTTTAGATCTATAAAAATATTAAAACTACTTTTGCCAACCCCTAAAGACACACATTAACATACAAATATTTTATGTTTATGTACACGTTTTAAGTTTATATTCCGTTTATATCCCGTTTTAAGTTGATTATTCCGTATCAGTACAAAGTAGTGCCTCATTCTTATATTTAAGACTGCATAATATTCTTTGAATGAATGTACCATAAGTGTGTGTATGTATATAATCATAGTCATATATTTACTTATAATGTGTATTTATAATGTATTAGAATGCATATATTTATATATGAGGGGTACCCACCAAAAAAAGGAATTATCTTCTGGAGCGTGGGCCCTGGTAGTACAGGCTTCCCCCACTAGGTGACTGTTCTAGAAACCCATGTGTATCAGTGCACCAGCTGGTGGTGTTGTGAGAGGCTGCATTGGGCTTTGGTGAGTTTTTTTTGAAGACTCTTTCAACACATTTGTCAATTTCATGATGGGCAGTTTAGAAGCACACCTCCCCGCACCCTGCTGTGTTCAGCAGTTTGTGACAAAATACAGTACGACGTCTATCTCCCGCCCTCCCCATTCAAGCCCCGGGGAATGTTTTTTTGTTCCCCCGGATGAAAAAAGACCTCAAAAGGAAATGTTTTGTCAATGTGGAAGAGATAAAACAAAAAATGGCAGAAGCACTAAAGAAATACAAAAGCATGCTTCTTTTAGAAGCACAAAAAGGCATCAAAATTGCCAAGTTCAAAAACTATTTTTAGCAGTGGAAAAATTGTCTCAGTAGGTATATTGCATCAAATGGAAAGTACTTTAAAGATGACTGAAGTTTAGCCATGTAAGAATAATATACAACTTTTATAAATACATTCTGAGTTTTCTGTGTCCTTCCTCTTATGTATATAAAAAGCATGCATACATACTATATTATAATAGATCTAATAAATGCGTGTGTTATATCTAATAAATAGATATAGTAAACTCTGGAAATACATAAAGAATCAGTATGGAGAACCAGGTAGAGAAGAGAGGGGAAGAAGACTTTTTAACCCCACATAATTTTGAACTATGCATATATGTAGCATGTACTCTAAAATGAAATTTTTAAATTATATTTCAAAATAGTATTTTATCTTATAACAAAGCCCGTCATACTCCAGGTAGTAGCATATTGTCCTTGTGAATGTGCTGTGAATTAAACAAAAGTAATTCACTGGAAGAAGGCAGGTAGCAGAGAAATAAAGCCAAAGAGGTAGCGAATCCTGCAAAATAAAATTGCAAAAAACGGCAGCAGCAGCAACAACACCACCATACTCCTATGAAAATAAGTTTAAAAGGGCATGTTATGCTACTTTCTAGGGTATTAGTTTTAGGAAAAATTGTATTTCAATTTAATGAACTATATTTATTACCGGGCACAAATTTCTAGGTTTGTTATATATGTAAACTGCCACTAGGGGGCAGTATATTTTTTACAAGGTGAAGAATGGAAAGTCAAGAACATTATTGTACTTTGCATTATTCTGCTAAAAATCTTATTCGATGAGACATACTTTTATTATGAACTAAATTTTGAGATAGTGTATACTGAAAAAAATAGCAAAACTTAAATTACACTGAAAAAATAGCAAAAACTAGGCAAATGAAATTCATTTTTTCACAGAAGAAAGGTGGCAGAAGGCATTCTTCAGTAAATGATTTTTGGTCAGTCTCTCAAGAAGCAATCTACATAGAAACTGTTTTGTTCTGGTTTGAAATCCCATGCACCAGTATTAGTATAAGGATTTTTCTCAGGGATAGAGCCATTTTCTATTTGTTTTTTAAACCTGCATGAAAAGAGAAAATGAGAACTCAAGACATTCTCAATTTGAATGCAAAGCTAAGTACACAACAAACTTTTGTCTACTCCTAGGCTCATCATAAATGCAAAGATACAATTTTCATTCCATTACATAACCAAGAGAAAAGTAAAGAGTTTATGAAAAAGCCTTTGGAATATTATGCAGCCTTAAAAAGGAGATACTGACATTTGAAACAACATGGATGAACCTGGAGGACGTTATGCTAAGTGAAAAGCCAGCCAGACAGACAAACACTGCGCAATCTCACTTATATGCGGTATCTAAATGAGTCAAAGGAGGGAGAAAGGTGGTTGCTAGGGACTGGGGGGGGAGGCAGAAGTAGGGAGATATTGGTCAAGGAGCACAAAATTTGTTATGCAAGATAAATGAGGTCCAAAGAAATGCTGGAAAAATGGGAGCCACAAATAGAAAGCCCACCTAAACTAAGTTACTACTGTAGAAATAAGAAGATGAAGAGTAAGAAAACTTTCTTCAGGGAGATACAAAATACTGTATATATAGATAAGAGATAATGTTCACTTAGCTCATGTATAATCATTGAAAAGAGATACACACCTAAACAATATTTTGTGATCTGTAATGAAATATAATGTAATCTGTAGCATTACAAGTTTAGTATAAAGGTCTCAGAAACATATAGGTAGAGGGAGAATTTCTTATAAAAAAGGCAAATATCAGAGTGGCTTCAGGTCTCTCTGAAAAGACAGTAAGGTCTACAGAGAAAAGGGAGTTTGTAGTCAAGAATTAATAACTAGCCATTGAAGTTCATGTGGAAAAATAAAAAGAGTTTAAACAATGCGTGGCCTTTGAAAACAGACAATATATGTACTTGGAAAAAATGAACAAAGCAAACAAAAACTAATAAATATATTTTAAAGATTTTATTTATTTATTTTTTAGAGAGAGGGGAATGGAGGGAGAAACAGGGAGAGAAACATCAATGTGTGAGAGAAACATGGATGAGTTGCCACTCTGCACACCCCCAACCCAGGTCCTAGCCTGCAGCCCAGGCATGTGCCCTGAACTGGAATCCTTTTGGTTTGTGGGACGATGTCCAACACATTGAGCCACTCAGTGCACAAAAAAAATAATTTTAAACCCCTTTGTAACCAAGTAAGAGGTTAATTAAAATGAAAGGTTGAAATAGGCTATATAAAACAAATGATGGTTTTAAACATAAAATTAAGTCTAAAGTCATTTAAACATGGTCTAAAAAATGAAATGCAACTTTGGAAAACTACTGAAATAAGTGATAATATACAAAATAACGTTTTTGTAATATAAAGTGTCTCAAATACCAGATTATTTATTTAAAACAAAGAAAAAGGAAGATAAACAAGTAAAAATGCTAAATTATTTTACAAAGGAATGAGTAAACACAAATTTTATACCTTGTGTTGGTAGAAGCAGATAACAATACTTTGATAGACATTCCTGGGAAATTTAAGTAACCATGGTAGATTTAAAATCAAAATATATACTTTCTAAAGCATTAAGGAAAATAAAAATATGTGAAATGATTCATATTAAAAACTACAATGTAAAACACTCACAAAGGAAACAAAAAGCAGCACACGGTGTGGGTATACCTTTCAAGCTGTAAACACAGGTATGCAAGAAATTTCTTTTTCTTTCAATCAGTCTCACTTCTATTCTGGCAGCCCAGTTCTCATGGATGGAGTGGAATTATATTTTAGATTTTAAGGGTTGTTTCGCCTTGCCCTAATGTCGGTGACAAAATTCTGAGAGGTTTACATAATCGCGCAGTTAGGCAATCTAGTCCGCGAGACAGAAATCCACAGATTACTGGGGACATTACGCTACCCGTGTGCACGGCCTCTTCCGAGTTTCCCTCTAGGCACAGGACTTTTTCTGCAAATTTTCTGTGTGATCATATCACCTACCCAGGTTCACTGCCAGCAGAGACCTTGAGGATCCTCTCAGTGGCTATACAAATCACCCTCTTCCTCTATCATTTCCCTATTTCCAAAGTTAACATCAGAGACTGAAAATAAACAGGGTTTGGCAGCTGCCCAGGACCAGCTCTAACCCTCGGTCGTGGAACCAAAAGCACAAAGCAAATATAACCCTAGGCTCGCCCGGACACCGATGCCGGAACCGAGGACGTGCGGCCACGGGGGTCGCGGGTGCAACCCGGCGGAAGCGCGTCTCGACGCAGCGGAAATGGGTCACGTGGGGCGGAGGAGGGGCGCGGAAGAGACGAAGGGGCCTGCGCCTGGCGCCCAGCTGGACTTCGGCTGTAGGGTCTGTATTTTAAGTGACGTCTAGGAGGGAATCCCAGCAGGTCGCTGTGTGACGGACTTTAGCGCTTCTCCGTACGATTTCTAAATCGTCCCCGCGCCGCCGCCCTCTGCCCTCTGCCGGGCTTGGGGACCTAGTGCCCGGCGCTGCGGCCGGACTTTGCCAGGTGAGCAGCGGATGGGGAAAATATTCCTCAGAACGTGGAGAAATAGCTGAATTGGGAGGCATTATTTCAACGTGCTAACTTAAATTAGGAATACTTTCCAGGCCCTGGGATAGGTAGTGTTAAATGGCTAGAGAAAAACAGTTATCTGAGCCAATCAAATGTAATGTCGTGAAGCATACAGTCACCAAGAATTGCAAAGTGGGGCCAAAGAGCCAAAGATTTTATAGGACAAAGAATAAAGAAAGAAAGAGACATGAAATATCAGATTGAATGGGCTCCATAGTCAACCTTGTGTAGGTTTGTAACCTAAGGGCAGGTGCTGATGTAAAGGAAAGTGGTTTTCCGGAAATCCTGGAGGAAGAGGGGCTCTTGTCTCAAAGCCCATGTTAGCATCTCAGGCGTCTTGTCTAGTTTATGTAGGGGAACGGTGTAGGAAGAAGGGAACTAAAAAATTTCTGGCAACGTGTTATTTCTGGGCTCTGCCCTTGGCAGGTCTCGGGATGCATCATCCTGTAGATTCGTCACTGTATCAGCAGTTTTCACTGCTGCTATCTGGGAAAATGCTTACAAGGAAACTTTCCATACCTGAATCTTTTATGAGTTTGTTAGTACTGCCTATTCTGTAATCACCACCTGATTAGAATATTCGGTTTACTTCAATCTCTGTTACAGGTTGAGAAGGCCCAAAGTCGGCTTCGCTTTGGGAGATTTGCCTGACACAATATACTGCGTTTCTGGTAAAAGGGAGCATTTATGGGATGGCAGAGTTTCCTGTTGGCTTGCTGATGTGCAGTCCTGGGAAGGTAATGTTCCCGAGGATCTCTGTAATTGTCCTTCTCACGACCTATGCGTTAAATTAGCTGGGTTAACTAAAACTTACACCATTTGTTTTGTGCGGCCAACTTTCCAACAACAACAAACATAAATGCCCAACTCATTTTTAGAGTTTTTTTAGAACCTGAATAATCCTTTTATTGCCACACACATACAAAGTTATAAATGTAGGGGATCAAAACCACCGATTACTTACCTGTTAAAAAGACTGATAAGGCCTAGTAAGAAAAATCTACATCTCCCTCCTCCAACCCCCTTTTTCTCACACATCTGAGAGCCTCTTGTTTACCAACCAGTGATCTAGGTAAGAACTCCCTTCCTGAAACTGGGCTTGGAAGAAAAACGTTTTAGGGTAAAGACTGAAATTGTGAAATCTACTAGGGGAGGGAGGAACGTAATAATGAGATCAAACAGCTGACCTCTTCTTGAAATTGTACTGTTCTGACTTGAAAGACCAGTGTGTAAAGATCAGCGGAGCACAAGCTGCGATCAACATTCCAGTATGAGAAACTAGCTTTCGAAAAAGAATGGAGTCTAATGAGGGTAAGTGGGGAGAATAATCAACATGTTAAGTGGAGAACTGTTAAGCTTTCTATGATATGGATTCTTAAGCCTGTTTGCCACCTGATTATTTCATTTATCAAGCACTGCTCAAGGCACTGCAAATGCCTTCCTGCTGTTAAATCTAGTGGCAGATTTGGTTAAGGAAGGAACTACGGAACAGTGTGACGGTTAATAAAGAATATGAAGGAGAACAGGCAATGAGAAAGAGTATTTTACATTGTGTAGCATGTTAAAGGAGATGGTCGGGAGTTACTCTCATGGAGAGAAAGTGTAATAGGTGAGGGCTCACCTATACAGAGACTTCGAATGAAGAGAACACCTGAAGAATTTGAGGAACTGAAGAAGTTAATTGTGGCTGTATGAGGAAAAAGGGTGTGTGTGGCATGTAATGAAATTTGAAATTATATAATGAGAGCCTAAAATGAACTCAAAACTTTTTTTAAAAGATCCTGTATTGATTGTCTGAAATAGAATATATCTGATTTTTTGTTGTTTACTACCTATCTTAGGCTGTTTTCTTATTAAGTATGTGTTTGTGGTTATTTTGTGCTTTACTGAATTTCAGAATGTGTAACAGGTTTTAAGAGAATGGCTAGGTTATTCCCCACGCAGAGGGGGCAGCCCTTTGATCACCTTAGCAGAACTTACCAAAACGGAGAGTGGCACCTTCCATCTCCGACTTCCCCAGTGCTCCCTTCTCTTTCCCTCTTCCTGTGACTTGACTGCAAGCTCATTCAGCTGAACTGAATCTGCTTGAGGCAGGACAGCAAAGTTCCCTGCATGACAAGTTGTAAACGTTTGCTTTGTCCTGAAGAAAGTTTATGAAATTGTAAATGTCTTAGAATCTGTTCAGCCCTGGCTGGTGTAGCTCAGTGGATTGAGCGCGGGCCTGCAAACCACACAATTGCGGTTCGATTCCCAGTCAGGGCACATGCCTGGGTTGCAGTCCAGTTCCCAGCAGGGGAACCATACATTGGCAAACAAAAGGCAACCATACATTGATGTTTCTCTCCCTCTCTCCTTCCCCCCCACTTCCCCTCTAAAGATAAATAAATAATAAAATCTTAAAAAAAAAAAGGAAAAAAAAAAGAATCTGTTCATAATATTGTAAGTCTGGAACTGATTACTTGGCTGCATGTTTAGAGAAAACCTGAATCACAACCCTTGTTCAATTACTTGTACTTTCAGGAACTATAATCACTTAATAATAGCTAACACTTTGTCAGCTCTTCAGCACTGAAGCCTTGTCTCTGAAGTTAGAATTGGGATGAAAGTGTACATATTAGCTATTAACAAATTTCTAGATTTGGATTCCTCAACCGAGGTCAGCAAATCTGGTAGCCTTAAGCAGGGCCCTTGAGTTTTTATGGTACTGTTTGTGGCATAGACAAAGGAATATGAGAAGAGGAGAGAAAAGGGGGAGAGTTAGCGGAAAGGGGCAGGAGTGGGTAGGGGGCAAGTGAAAATATATGGAATTAATAGAGAGAAGGCTAACATGAAGTATTTGTAAGGTTTCCTTGGAAAAATCAGCATATTGAAGATGTCTAATGAGGTAAAATATTAGTGACATAAATATTTAAATTTGTAATGATTTAAGGACAAAGAGAAATAGATCCGATGGAATCAGTACCAGTTGTCTTTGAGTTGTTGACTTGGAGGGAGGGGTAATGTATGAAGAGAGAGTGGACTCATTACAATGAAAAAAGACATGTTGTTCATTGATTCTGTTATCCCACAATAAGAATTTAAAATGCTAGTGATTTTATAAACCATACTCCATTATCTTCTTGTTTAATTCTTGTTCTTTTCCCCAAACACAATATTGTGGAAAACAAAGGCATTTTTTTAAAAAATAGCCATCCAAGTCCTTATCTGGTTTCTTTGGCACATTTATTTTATACTGAAGTCATAGTCAGTGTGAAAAAGATCAAGACTTCTTCTTCCCCAATTTAACTTTCTGTAGAGTTGTCTCTTGTATATCTGATATATCCCTAGGTGCAAAACATGCAAGAACATAATCCAAGAAAAAGCAAGCTTGGACATATTTGAGAGGGGGGAGGGGCAAGAATGGGAGAGAGTAGCAGGGAGAGAGAGAGACTTGAAATCAGACACAAAGAATATCCCATATTCTTTACTTTATATAAAATTCAAAGCAGACAAACTGATTTTGAATATTAGAGGTCAAGATAGTTATCTTTATTTGGAGTGGTGATTGAAAGGTGGCAGAGTAAACCTGAGATTCATGTTATCTGCTGAGTGCTATATACTGAAATGTATTTGCCTTGGGGAAGTTCATTGAGCTGTACATTCTTCTGAATGTATGTTTTATGTCAACAGTGGTGCTCATGTAAGGTAAAAAGTCTGTGGGCAGAGTTGTGATCACTTGATAAAAGTGAGACAAGAGTAACAGAACCCTGGGAACACAGAAACCACCCACACATTCCGATTTTTCTCCATCTGCCTCTGGACCCCTTCCAGCCTCTATAAAAACATCACAGAAAGTAAGGATTATGCTAAGAATCAAATTTCTGTTAAAGAGTGGGCTTTCTCTTGTAGCATTTCTGCATTGAGACTGTCTGTAAGTGGACATTTGGACTGATTTCTTCTTAAATTTTGGAAATGTTAGAATTGCAGAAATAACTACTGTCATGAGAAGGATTACCTGGAGGCAGGAAATGGTGCTAAACGCAGAACAGCAACATTCTTCTAACCCTCCCTAGTGTATTAGAACCGTGTAAATGCACTGTCACTCTGTTACCATCTCAGTGGTAGATCCTGAAATGATGTCCTTTGTGAATTATTTGGTTTGAGAAAAGGGAAAAAGGGAAAGAATTCCATACTAGAGCCATCTCTTCTAAGAGTGCTTTTATAAGTTGGGAAATACTTCCAATTAAATAGGAAGGTCTATTAACAAAATAATGTGACAAAAGTGTCTGTTCATCTGTGCTACATATACTTATGTCTCTTTTCCAGAAATGGCAGGAAGTCTTTTGAAGACATCATCTGAGTCTCTAAGGACAAAATTGCTACATCAAACAGGATTGTCACTTTATACTACATCTCATGGCTTCCATGAAGAGAAAGTAAAGAAAATACTTCAGCAGTTTCCTGGGGGAACCATTGACCTTCAGAAGGAAGACAATGGCATTGGCATTCTTACTCTGAACAATCCAAGTAAAAGGAATGCCTTCTCGGGTATAGAGAGTTTTCTTTTGCTTGTGACAGAATAACACTAAGTCTAACCTGCTGTTACATGACTCTTATCCTTACCCTGGTGACATTAACTCTTGGAAGTCATGGATCCTTGTAGAACATGAAAACAAAACTGTCATGTGAGCCAGGAACATTTTTTTACTAATTGTGGAAATTTTAATGCTTTTCTTTTAAAACAACCCACAAATACAGATGCTGATGAAAAGGAAACTGTCAAATTAATCTTGACTATTTTTTTCCATTGAAATGTACTAACTGCTTACTAACATCATTTGTTTGTGTTCAGCTAATGTCACTGGGAAACAAAAGGCATTTTTCAAATATTTTTAAAAACTAAAAAGAAAAACTTATACATTAAAAAAGAAATGACTGATTACCTTAAATTTTTTGTGTGAATTGAAATAAGACTGACTTTAACCATGTAATTCCAATATTACCAGTGAAAATGCTTCCCGCGCCTGTTTATTGCTCCTTTCCTAACTCTTAGATACTGTAAATACCTTCTGTTTGCTAGCCAGTGCTCTTGGCATTCAAGAATTTTATGTTTGAGAGACCTGAAGGTCCAGGATATATGGTAATTTGCAATTTGCCAAAGCTGAAATTCAAATGATGCTACCTTGATGTTATGCAGAAGCTAATGAGTAACCTTGCTGAATACCCAGCCCTTGTATTTCAAGGTGATTTTGGCAATTTCTCTATTTGTCATTTATATACTTTATGAAGGTAAATTATATTCTGTAGTAGCATTTGAAATATTGGGCTCAAAAATACCTGAATGCATTGTCATGTATCTATATATAGTCACACCTATAAACATAATTCAAAAGACTGTAAACCATAAGTTGTCTATGGTGGATCTTTAAATCAAAGATGACTTTTCCTTTCCACCCAGCAGAGTTCACAGATGTCTATCTCTGTTAGTGTTAATCACGAGAAATATAATGCAAGACACAAATGTGAGCCACATATGTAGTTTCAAATTCTGCAGTAGCCATATTTTAAACAGTAAAATGAAACAGGTAAAATTAATTTAAATTTCTAATTTAACCCAGTGTATTCAAAATATTTTAACATGTGACTAATATAAGAATTTAAGCATTTTTTAAAATACCAAGTCTTTGAAATCTGGTGTGTGTTTTACTCCTATTGCACAACCCATTGCGCCTTTGGACTCGCTACATTTTGAGTGGGTTATAATAGCTACGTGAGGTGGTGGCTACTTTAATGAACAGTGCAGTTTCATACCTTCATCGAGTCCAGAGAATAAAGACCTAGGAAACTAACATTAGCCTAGGAAAAATAAGATTAGCAAAGTACGATTGCTCTAAGAGTGAGATTAGATTAATAGTTTTCATTTACTACTGAATAGCCACAAATACATTAGTAAAACTTTGTGTTCAGATGGAAACAAATGTTAATTTGGTTCCTAATTAACACTAATACAAATAGAACTATTATACATTAGTGTGGATAATGGTATTTTGTTGGGTTGGGAGATGATGATTGAGCCCCATACTACATAACCCCCAAGGCCTTTGTTTGAAAATCACCCAACCAGATAATCTTTAGGGTCCCTTCCAACTTTTAACATGTATTTTACAAAGTCAGAAAGATGAGTTCAAGATTAACTACTGGTATAGATTTCTCATAGTCAGGGCCAGCTTTTTTTTTCTTGAAGCTTAAATATTAGGGATGACTAAAGGTCCATATTTACTTATATAGATCTATTCTCCCCTTAAAGGTGTATTTTTCTATAAAAAGAAAAATATTAGACTGTAAATCTTTTGAGATTTGCAAGAACTATATTTCTAAAGCACCTAGGACATCCGTGGATAGGTCTGCTGTTCCAACTAGGCCATAACTAGAATTAAGAAGGATAGCCGCATTAGTCATTATTTATTGTGGGACCACTTCCCTCCTTGTTACTTCAAAAAATGACCAGAAAATAATAGTTCTTGACCTCATGAGGTTTATATTCCTTAGAAGTGAACATATAGTTTAATGGGCTATACGTAGTAAATTTTGGAATCTTGTGGTAGAGATTTTGCCAATTTCAACCCTCTGTTACGATCTTTCTATTGGCTTTTAAAGCATGTTCTTAAGCAGAAGACAGAGTAAATTTAATCATGCTGAGAGCATTATGAACTTTCCAAACTTGGAAGACTTCCACAAATAAGTGTAAATGCCAGTCTCTGCTATTTCCACCTTAAATATGTCTATTATAAACAAACTCCAATAGAATTTTTGAATGATATCAAGGTAACAGTCTAAATAATTTATAGAATTAATGTTTGCTAGTCATTCTATTGTCAACTAGGTACTTCCATGGTATGCCTTGAGCTTCTTAGCACAGTTTCTCAGCCAGGAAACAAGATAACATTTACCCTGTGTTACACTAGTTTTGATGTGGTTAGGTATGAAATGTCACTGTAGTTTCAACTGCAACCTACTTGAATAGCAGACCTGCCAAGGATGTCCTAGATGCTTTAGAAATACAGTTCTTGCTCTCAAAACACTTACTATCTAGTAGGGTTTTTTTTTTTGTTTTGTTTTTTTACAGAAAAGCACACATTTAGGGTGAGAATAAATCTGTATAGGTAAATATGGACTTTCAGTGATCCCAGTACTGCCTGCCCAGTATTACCATCTCATGCTCTGAGGCCGTACCATAGTTGAATTAGGGATACGGGCACAACTCGTTATGTGTTTGCTCACCAAGACAGTGCATACTGCTGTGAAGTGAGACCTGTACTTCATTTTACCCTAAGGAATATGTTAACACCATATTCCATAGTTTGATTCTAATGTTCGTATTCCTAGGAAATATATATGTTCTCATTTTTCTTCAAAACCATATATTTGTGTAATTTCTTAAGAAAGAGATTGCTGACAAATTGTGAACTTTTAAAACAGGCAAAAAAATAAGTAAATAAAGCAGGCACTGTTATGTGTACCTCTTCTGGATATATTCTCAGTGGCAGCATAGCAGGGATTTAACATTCAGTAAAAACTTGTAAAATGTATGATCTAAGTACCTTGTTTGCCACCGCATTGTTTCTAAATTATTTCTATTCTCTGAGTGTCTTAGCCGTTTGTGATTCCCCTTCTACTCTCTGACAGGTGTTATGATGCTACAGCTTTTGGAAAAAGTGATTGAATTGGAAAATTGGACAGAAGGGAAAGGCCTCATTGTTCGTGGGGCAAAAAATACTTTTTGCTCAGGGTCTGATCTGAATGCTGTGAAGGCACTAGGAACTCCAGAGGCAAGTATATATGAATTGTGTACTAGGTTCTACAAGCTTATTAGACACGTATGGCCGAGATATTTCTATTTTACTTATATTTATATCTTATTTACATTTGTTGTAATGACAGCTACTCTTTAATAGCTTTTCAAGGATCAGAGTTTTGTTTTGCTTCTTCAAGATTAGTAGTGTGAAATACTGGAATTTAAAAAAGGACAGGAAAATTAGCAATAACCAAAGTGTTACACATTATTAAATTTAGCAAGAATTTGAGTTTTTAAGTGGAAGCCCCTTCCATCTCCTGATAAAGAATTTTACACAAGGTATAATATAAAGTACTGTCATATCTTTGGTACAGAGTAGGCTTCAACAAATGATAACAATTTAAAATTTTGCTTTTAATTATTATGCCTATAGAAAAAAATCTTAATCATCTTCCATTATCAGTCCTCCTAGGAACCTCTTTTTCTTCAATTCAGGCTTCCACCCACAACAAAATGAGAGAGAGAAAGGGCAGGGGGGGAGGGGAGAGAGAGAGAAAAAAAATGACAAGGAAAAGGAAAAAATGTATTTGTTGCCATTTAATTATAGATCTGGGCTATATTTAGGTAGTAAAAGGGGAGTTGTATTATTTATTTATTTTTAACCTATTTTTAAAAAATTGTTGATACTGTTACAGATGCCCCCCCATTTCCCTTCCTTTTCCCTCCCTCCCCCCCAAGCCCGGACACCAGCCTTCAGTCGCCCTCCCCCCGAGATCTATCAGTCAGTTCCATTGCATCCATGGCTCTGGTTTGGTTTGGTTCCTCAGTTTAGTTTGTTCATTAGATTCCATGTGTGAGTGAGATCAAATAGTATTTGTCTTTCTCTGAATGGCTTATTTTGCTTAGCATACTGTTCTCCGGGGTCATCCATGAGAACACAAAGGGTAAGGTTGCTTCTTTGCTATTCCACAACTCTCACACCACTACCCGTGTTTGCATAAATATATGGGAGCAGAGTTCTCTTGGTAATTTTGGCAGACTTGCATTTGAAGGCTGGTTTCAACACTTTCTGGCTAAGTTATTGCACAGTCACTTAATCTTTCCAAATCTTATCTTCCTAATCTATAAATGAGAATTATGTATTTCACACACTATTGTAAGGACTCAAGGTAATGTATATAAAGTGACTTCTAGCACAGTATCTGAAAAATGTAGCTATTTTTACTTTAAAGCTCTTGATATCAATAAATATTCATGAAATGGTTCACAATTTGTAGCACCACCAGACTTAAATTTGTAATGCGTCTGAATGGTTAGAGTGTGAAGCTGGCAAATCAAATGTATGGACTCTTGCCCATGCTCTACTAATAATTAAACATGTGACCTGCAAGTCACTTGATTATAATTTTTCATCTCCACAGTGATTGAATTACTCAGCACCTTTGTTCACAAAAGACACTGTAAAGGTAGAATGAGAAAATAGGTGTTTGTGGGTCTGATACAAGTCAGGTAGGAAAACATCCCTAAAACGGTGAAAGGTTATTTTGTTTTCTTCTAGTTAGAAGGTTGTTTCTGTCTCTTCAGATGATGCGGCCAGGATTCTCCCTCCATGTATGTAAAAGTTAAAGTGGAAACACACGAATGGTCTGAGTTGTGTAGGAAAACGTATACTTTTTATACAGACTTAAGGGGTCACTTTAAAAAGTGCGTTCTTTCTAATATGGACATTCTCCAAGTTATCTACTCTGCTGAATGCCTGCAGTTGAGTAAGGTTAACTTCTGAGCAACCGCTGACAACTAAGGTGGAGGGGCCCCCAGTGCTAAAGCAGCTCTGGGGGTGTCGGTCACCTGCAGTGACGCATATCTGCCAGTCTAATCAAAAATCCTGGAGTTGTGATTTTACTTTATAATGTGTATTTTAGAACCCAGCTCAGTACTTAAAATACCTCATTTTATTTAAAGCATTTTCCTGGGTAGATGGATTCTTTCTTGTACTTTTATGAAGCCTGCTTATTTCCATATTTTGCTATGTATAATGCACTCCCATGCATAATGTGCACCCACATTTTTGGCCCAAACTTTCAAGAAAAAAAATCGTTCATTTTAATTTTTAATTAGTTTATACTTAGATACTTTTTTGTATTATAAAGGAATTTATTGTTGAGCATATCATGATATAAGAAGTGTCATGTAATAAATAGTTATAAAAGATGAGAACAGATACAAGGTATTTCAGGTGCTACCCATGTATAATACACATCCTTATTTTCCCCTCAGAAATTTGGGCAAAAATGTGTGCATTATACATGGCAAAGTACAGTAATAGTATAGGAAATATGCAGCATAGAAATAGGAAATTTGAATAAACTTCTCTTATGGATAATATTAAAAAGCACAGTAATATGTATGGGGTATATTTGTCTCACAATGATTTTAAAATTAACAAGCAGTAGAAATAATGTCTATAAAGTTCCTGATAAGTATTTCTACTTCTCACATAGATGGCATTTCTATATGTCTCAGAAATAACTACAGGTATGTGTGACACTGAAATTTAAAGTGGCATGGGGACTTATGGGGCTCGTCCTTGTGTATGAATGTGTCTGCCCCTCACTGCCAGGAGTACACTTACTCTTTTTTCTTGTAGGTGCATCAGTAGCATCTGCCAATTAGGGTGCATTTGCTCTTTGAGCATGATGCTTTTAGAAATTGGCTTACTTTCCTTTCTAATTACAATAAGATACTTGAAAGTGACTATTAGATGGCAGTAAAAAAACACGATTATGTTGATGTTTTTGCCACTGTATTTTTTCATTTAAATTTTTTTATTAATGAAAATGACCAAATATAAACAAAAGTAGAGAGACTAATACAGTGAAACCCTCGTGTATGTACTCATTATAGCATCAGCAACCATAATCATTTTATTAAATCTGTTTATCATTCCACTTTTTTTATGTAGCTGGTCTGTTAAGAAGTTGGTTTCATTTTGGCTTTCTTTGTTTAGTGAGTAGGAAAAGAGCTTCAACTGTCCTTACTAGTCAATTAATTCTTGAGAAAGAATACCAAGAATTCTTGGTATTGAGAATAGTCGTGGCAGAGAGATGAATTGGCACAGCACAAGCATTAGGCCCTGGGAAGTTATGGGACAGAGAAAAGAATAAAGTAGGAAAAAATCTGATGTAAGTACTGGGTTGGCCAAAAGGTCCATATGTGTTTTGATTTCATAAAAGACACATTTTTCATTTTCACCAATAACTTAATTGATTATTGTGAGTATGTCAGCTCTCTCTTGTAGTATAATGTAGATTATCCTAATGTCTGGATTTGATCGCTGTCTACTTCAACTGGTCCACCTGCCTGTGGAGCATTCATTGTCCAGCAAGAAATCTCCAGCATGAAACTTTTGACACTTTCTGTGACACAGTCACAGGACTTTCTCCACACACTGCACAAATCTTTTTTTGCATTTCAGTTGTGTTTTTACCTTTCTTGAAATAAGAAAACATAATATGGTGAAAATGTTGCTTATTTTCTCCTATCTTCAATATTAAAGTGGCTATACAAAAGTTCACCCATTTCGGTAAGTTTTTTTTTTTTTAAACACACTGATATGACAGCTGTCACAATACAGTTGGTTTTGAATGAAGTTAAAGACAATTAAGCACCACTAGAGCCATCTTACTGAAAAAACCAAATGACCTTTTTGACCAACCCAATATTTACCCAATTATACGATTTGAATTTGTTTTCACAGATGTTCTGTAGGTCACAGTAAGTCTTTTTTTCAGAGGGCAAAAATAATTAAGATCTAATTATAAGCTTTAAGATATGAGGAGATAAAAACCTTTTTACTTTGCACTGAATAGGTATTAACCCTTAAGGAAAAGTCGAACATTTTAGAAACCTTCACACACTTAATCTAGCTTGAAAATATCCTTTGCCCCCTGACCTACTTTGTCCTATTCTGCCAATCCATTGCTCCTTGTTTCTCATTGCTTAAATTTGTACAGCGACCTCAAAGTTCTTGTCTACCTGTATTGCTTTTGGGACTACTATTGAACAGTCCCATTTTAGCCTTACTGATTTATAGACAAGCTATTACAGTTTTCTCTAAGCTCTTCCAAAGTATTCTGAAGATATAAATAAGATATGTTTATATCTGAAGATATAAACATAGCAGGCACTTAGTGGGGGAAAGAGGCTCATTTATGGTTCTAGGATAAGATACTTTATGGGTTGGGCATTTCCCACTTAAGATAAATATGGCTTAGAGTAAATAGGATGTTAATATAGTTCCTTTGGCACTTAGGCTTTGTATTGCACTTCTCATTTCTATTTTTGTAGAGAAAGCTGGAAAAGTAGGGTTGGGTCTCAGGGTATCTTCCAGAAAGGATGAAAATATCACCTCCTGCAGCAGCTCTACTGACCTATTTTTAGTGTTTGCCAGTTTGCAACTTTCATTTATCAGAGCAAGTCTAGCTTTTCATTGGTTTTTTTCTTTTAGTTCTATCACAAGTAGGGATTTATTGCTGATTGGCAGTTTGGCTGTAGAGTCTTTGTGGTGTTGTGGTGTTGACCACAATTTCATACTGCTTTTAAACTTTTTTACTGTTTTACATTTGAATGAGAATTCTAACAGTACACAGGCTGATACCTCCTTCACTTTCATTTCAATCAATTCTAAATACTGCCATCAGAATGTTAAGTGCTCTAAACCTAGTAACAGAAAATATGCCTAATAGAATTATTTTGAGATCCTTTAACAGGCTGTTGTAGACAGGTTTTCAATAGAATATAAATCATTCTGGTTTTGAACGTATAGCTCTTTGTGCTTGTATTAATTTTCTTTTCACTTTATAATATAGACTGCCCTCCCTTAGAAAGGATTTTGTTTAGGAAATTGGTACCATACTGGTTTTTACCATTCATTGCCTGCATTTGTTTTATTGGTCAGCATAGTTATCCATCTAAAAGTCATCTGACTCAGTTAATGTCATCAGGCATATACTATATATATGTAGCGAAACATTGTACCAGCCTCTGAAGATAATAAAGAAGGCATTTTTCCAACTTCATGGAACGTACTGCTTAAGCCTTAAGTAAATGCCATCTCCCCTTCTACTTTATGAAGCCTTCCCAACTACCCCAGCCAATTGAAATGAATTGTTTCTTATTTGGTACTATTCTCAGTTTGTTGGAGCATTTTAAAAAATACTTATGCTATACATTGATGTATTGCATTTCTTTATCTCATAGATTTTTGAGGAATAGGAACTGGGACCACAGTCTACTTACCGTAGTCTCTAGCCCTAATCTTGCAAAGACAAGCCGAAGAACAAATCCTGACACAATGTACACGAGACAGTCTATAAGTATTATCGTTAAATTACAAAAATAAAAATATTGCGAAAACACAAAGGAGGACAGTATTACTATAGGGTTTAGACAGTGTTGATGGAAAATATTTGATCTGTGCACTCCCTAAAATATGTAGAGGCAAGGACAGGCTTTCTTTGGAGTAATGGGAGTGTGAACAAAGACATGGGAATAAGTGTAAGCTGCTAAAGGAATGGCAAGTAGTTTGTTGTGGCTGAAGTTAAGATGCTTGGATGAATGGTACAGGTGTCGGTAAAGTTGGTAAAATAGTTTGGGATCAGTCCTCCCAAGAAATTTAGACTATTTTATTGGTGATAGGAAATAATCATCTTATGGGAAGGTTCACGGGAAGCAGGATGCACTATATGTTGCAGAAGAAAAAGAAGTTAAATACAGAAAGGTGATTTGGGAAGCAAGGCTATTTTAATAATCTAAGCATGAATAACAAAAGTCTGAACTAGTGTAATGACAGTGAAAATAAATGAAGGGATTATGTTGGAAGTATTTTGAAGGAAGAATTTGGGAGACACGCTCGGTGACTAGATGAGTGTGGAAGAACTGTGAAATGGAAGGGCCAAAGAAAACCAAAATTATGAGCCTTATTGACAAGATGACCTTTTTCTCTTAACTTATAACTTGCTTACTTTTATGTGGACATTTTTCCAGCTGTCCTTTAAATCAAATAGAACAGGTATTTTTTTTATTCTTTATTCCTTCCTTATGGATGAGGAAACTGAAGTTCATAGTTATGCCTTGCTCACGTTCGTGTTATTATACAGTGGTAATGCTAGGATTCAAACTCAGCTCTGTTTTGCCATGAGTATGAAGTATTGGCAGAATGTGAAATTTCTAGTAGGTTTTGCGACTCTATGTGAAAGCAATAGTTGAAGCAATGGAAATGGATCAGATTTCCAAAGAAATTGTAGATAAGGTGGTGAAGAGAATGATGGATTGGATTGGTATACATGCATTTAGTGGATTTAGCTGAATAAAAAGAGAAAAAGAAAACTGAAAAAGAACAGTAAAAGAGAAGAGAATCAGGAGTGGACGGGTTACTAGAAATTGAGATTATCAAAATAAAGAAACTTGTCAAAGCAAAATACCATTTCTTATAGATAGAGGAAGATGAGGAAAGGAAAAGCCATTTAATCTGACATGAAGATTATTAGCAGCTTTTGAGGGGAGTCTTGAGAGAAGTTTATATATAGATCAGAGTATACTGGCCTGAAGGAGAAAAAAAAATGCGATGAGTTTAGACTACCTTTAAGAAATTGCTTTTATGCGTTTATATTCTTAGGGATCGGAGTTTTGGATAATTAGCGGGTGCCTCTTATGTCTCCTCTCTCCATACTACTCTGAGTAGAACTCCGTACTCTTCTGGGTCATTTGATTTAAACTCTCACATCTAAGTGTTTGCTAATGCCTCCTGCAAAGCTGAGCTCGAATCCTAGAAAATCAACATCAAAAACTGCATCAATGTGCATTTCATAGCATCAAAGAATTTTAAATGAAACCTCTTTAAAAAATGTTAGATGTATTTTTGACTTTGCTTCTAACTCCTGAAATAAAAATCTTATATAATAATTTACATTAAACCTTTGTGTTTATTTTTATTTAAAGGATGGAGTGGCCTTATGTATGTTCATGCAAAACACCTTAACAAGACTTATGAGGTAATATAGTTTTCTTTTCAAAATATGATTTCTAAAAAACAAAAAATAGCTCTTTATTCTATGTGTTGCACCAGTTAAAAGAGTGAGCTGATTTTCCAATTATATTTATTCTAATGATGACCTATTTGTGCCATCAAGGGCAATCATTTAATTAAACATTAGCGAAATAAGTATTTAAAAAATAAGATACATGAGAGAAAAAGAATTTAAGACACAGCACTTTTCCCTAAAGCACGTATATTACTATTAGCTATATATATGTAGCTATAGAGATGAGAAAGTTAAATATTGATATTACAGCAGAATAAAGACACATAAAGGTTACCTAATCTAAGTTGGTAGAATGTATAGTGAAATGGTCTGTTATCTAGAGGAGAGAGAAGAAGAACTGTGGATTTCTGGAGAGGATGGATTCACTTTGCACCTAAATGAATAAGCAAAAAGAGATGATTCTTGGCCTATTGCTGTGCATTTGGGGTTACAAACTGACTGGTTTGGGCTGATTAGCTCTCTACTACTGTATTCCAACTGGAAACAACTTAATTACAAAAACTAAGGAAATTCATATTTATTTAGTATATTTACTAATTGGACATCACTGTACTTTTGTTCTTCATATGTGAGAGCATAAAAAGAACAAAGGAATCATAACAATACTATTCTAAAATACTTTTTATTGTATTGGCAACTGTTCACCTCCATTTTCCTATTACATTTGACTTTTTCTTAGATAAATCTTGAGTTTTGTTTAAATATTTTTTTTAAATTGGGAGTAGCGTAATGTGCAGTCACTTTAAAGCTACAGCTTTGCATTTCAGTTAGAACCTACAAAACAAATCCAGACCTTCCAAACATTTTAGACTTACCTTTTAACACTGAAACAGTACCGCACTGCAAAGTGGGCCTTTGCCCCCAGGAGAGGTGAAGAGATTTCTTTTTACCACAGAGCATCCCTTTCACGTAGGAATTGTCTATGGATCGTTTCAGTGAGCAGTGGAAAGGTAGGGACCTTTGTAACAACACAGCCTGGGAACTCCTTCTTCTGTACCACATATCCTCCCTTTGGCTACGGCCCTAACTTTCCCATGTATAATCTGATGTGAGTAAAAGTGGACCAAAACAATATCACATTGAATTGTTCCTGATTGCTGGTAAGTAGTTGAAAAGTTCCAGGAGCTGTATGTTATCCAGAAATATCCATTTATTTGGAATAAAGTTACAAGCTGACTACAATTTGAAAATATATGATTCAGAGAGGTATTTTGATAAATTTACATGGCATTTAGTATGAATTATGTATCTTCAGATATATTATACTCTTTTGCTCCTCATGATCCCTATCCTGAGGTTTATTATTATAAACATAGTTCAATAATTTTGTTTCTATTGCATCTCAAGTTTTAAAATAATATTTGCAGATTAATACTGAAATGAAAAATGTTAACATACATTTTTCCTTTTTCCTTCAACATACAGACTTCCACTAATAAGTGTCGCACTAGTTCAAGGCTGGGCGTTGGGTGGAGGAGCAGAGTTTATTACGGCATGTGATTTCAGGTAGGGTGAAAACTGCACTACCCTTGCACAGGTACGACTAACGTGCTCAGATTTATTATTCACCTGAACATAAATATTTCATATAATCTTAAAATAGGAAAATCAATTAGCACATTATTTTATGTTATCATTAGAATAGATTATTTTAGTCAGTCAAGCATAACTCTGCCATCACTTTATTACCACTCATTCAAAAAGTTAACAAAATAAATTGAGTTTAAATAAATCAAATTCATTTAAGCAAAATCCTTCCCAGCATCTTGGGCTTTAAACAACTTTTATGTTCAGCTGATACTCAGGGAATTTATTCCTGACATAACCCTTTTCTGCATTGTAGGAATAGCTCTGAGCCAGTGTTTGAGTCAGTTCCCGAATGTAATTTAGAACTGTGATTTATTAAATTTATTCTGTGAAAAGCCACTTCATAGGATTGTGTTCAGTGTTAACAGTATTCCCGTCTCTAGACCATTTGGCATTGTTTCTGAATTTCTATTCTCCTTTCTTCACTTTTGACATCTTCTGTTGAACAAGGCAGTGCCCCTTTCAAATTTGGAGCTAGATTCAGATTCTCAGGGGACTTGTTCTTTCTTCCTTCCAGTTAAAAATTATGTATTGAAAACTACTGTGTTCATGGGTATTTGAAGCTAAAAGCAACTGTTCATAATTGAGGAAGATTTACCCTTGTAGGAATTCACACTTGTGAGGAGGAAGTTCTCTTTCCCAGTGGTTTAATAAATAGGCATTTGCGAGACGTATTCTACTGGACTGTCTCTCCTGATTAAAGAGTCAAAGATTTAGTGTCTCTTGTTCTTGGTGCTGATAGAACCAAATCACCTGTGGTTGAACATTGAACCCTTTTGAAAGCTAAACTAACTTGTGGGGTTTGTTTGTAATGAGTAGATGAAGACAATGATTTTTTTTAAGAAAAATTCAGACATGACCTTTTGTCCAAATTAAGGTTTTAACATAGTGAAACCTTCTCACTAAAGTGTGGAGTCAAAATAAAACTCATAGGCACCATCCCCTAAACAGTATAACTTTATGCAGTCTATTAGGAGAGTACAAATACTGAACTGGCAATTGTGAACACCTTTTGCTATGTTCACTAATTTGTTAACTCATCTTTATTGTACTCCTTTGCTTATTAAGCACCCTATTCATAAAAATCCCAAGATTTGGGGACAGTGAATTCCTGCGATAGGAAATCACTGCTCTCAGTCTCACCCAAGCCGCGCACTGTCAACTTTCGGAATAGTGTCTCCGGTTCCACTCCAGCCTCGCTAGCTACTGTGTGTACTGTGAGGTTAGCGCACATGTAACGAAGCTGCCCTGCCTAGGTTCTCATTCTGGCTCTGCTATAGCTGCACAAGATGTTTAAGTATTGATACAGTTACCTCAGTTTTTCCTCTGTGAAATGAGGTTACTGCTGTACCCTGTACAATTATTCTGAGGATTGACATGAAGTTCTGTAGAAAACTAGTATGTTATTGAGTGCTAACGTCTTAACAGAGCAACCAGGGTAACCCTTTTAAATAAGTCAGATACTACTCTCTTGAGTAACCTCCTCCAAATAGCTTCACGCTTAAAAAATAAAGTCTGAACTCTCATGTAAGGCATATACACCTACCTCTCCAATTTCTACTGCCATTACTGTTTCCTCCATTCCAAGTACAGAAACCTGTACCCAGAGATTCTAAGAAATTCTCCTTCAAGGCCTTTGTACTTGTAGTCCCTCTTCCTGGAACACTTGCCCCCCCACCCCCGATTTTTTCATTGCTCACTCACTAGGGTAGCTGCTCAAATATTCAGAGGCCTTTTCCATCTAAAATAGCACACCCCTGACACACACACCCTCCTTCTCTAGTCCCTTGCCCCATTTTATTGTTATAACTCTTACCACCACTGACATTGTATCATTCAGTGTCTATTAACAGGAATGGAAACTGGCATTGGTAGTGCTCAGTACATATTTGCTGGGAGACTGGATAGATACTGGTTAAAAAACAATTTTTCTTTTCCCATGGACAACTGACTCTGTTTTTTATTTTTTCATAGTATGCACGTAACATTACCTACTCACGTATTTTCACTTAACCTAGGTTTTCTCATTAGGGCACCACTTACTTTAGAGGTGCATTTGGGCTTTTAAAAATAAAGACACATTCTTATTTATAAAGAAGCAAGCACAACAAAAATGTTGATACTGGTTTTAGAGGGAGGTCGTTGATTATTGTATATAATTCGAATTCTATATTTAGCCAGATTTTTTAACATTCAGTTTTTAATGTATCTACCTATAAAGACCTATGGAGACTTCTGATCAGATCATGAAAGGTTGGTAATTGATGACTAAAGCATATATACTTAGTTAAAATTAAGTTGTTTTTTTTCTTTTCTGTGTTGCAGATTAATGACTGCAGGGAGTGAGATCAGATTTGTTCACAAGGAGATGGGTATAATACCAAGCTGGGGTGGCGCTACCCGGCTAGCTGAAATTATCGGCCGTAGACAAGCTCTCAAAGTGCTAAGTGGGGCCCTCAAAATGGATTCCAAACAGGCTTTAAACCTAGGAATGGTTGACGAGGTCTTGCAGTCTTCAGGTGAAACTGAAAGTCTGGGAGAGGCACAAGAGTGGCTAAAGCAGTTTACCCAAGGGCCCACAGAAGTAATTAGAGCTTTGAAAAAAGCTGTTTCTTCAGGCAAAGAGCTTTGTTTCCAAGAGGCATTACAGACCGAAAGAGATCTTTTAGGGACACTTTGGGGTGGACCAGCAAATCTGGAGGCTATTGCTAGGAAAGGAAAATTCTGTAAGTAGATGTTTTAAAATAAAAGGTACTGCAATGATTAATGTGTAAAAAAGTTAAATATGAAATGTCAGAATTACTTCGAAGGGTACCACTGGTATTTGGGTTTTTAATCATTTCTGAGTACCTAAACTCATTGGCATAATTTTTAGAATACTCTAGTACCCCCTCCACTTGCAGAAGTTAGGTTCCATGATTCCCAGGGGAAACCTGAAAGTGAGGATAGGAACAAACCCTCTGTATACTATTTTTTCCTTTAATTACACACCTGTGATAAAGCTTAATTTACAAATCAGGCACAGTAAGAGATTAACAGTACTAATAAGCAATTATAATATACTTTAATAAAAGCTTTGTGAATGTGATCTCTTCAAAATACTTTATTCTACTTACGTTTTTACTTGCAGGAAGCACGTTATTGTTTCTCTCTGATATGTCCAAATTGCCAGCATCACTATTCTGGCACTTTGGGGCCATTATTAAATAAAATAAGGTTTATCTGAACAAGCAAGCACTGTGATACTGATAACAGAGCTACTAAGTGACCAACAGGCAGGTAGAATACACAGATACACTGGACAAAGGGATTCAAGTCCTGGGTAGGGTGATGTAGGACAATGTAAGTCTTCATCATGCTACCAAGAATAGTATACCATTGAAAACATGGCTTATTTCTAGAATATTCCATTTAATATTTTTGGGTTACAGTTAACTGTAGGTAACGAAAACCTCAAAGTGAAAGTACATATGTAGGGAGGGGTGGAAATTATTGTATTTCAGCATTTACCAAGTAAATCTGGAATGTTTGACTACATACAAAATACTTTTGGCTTAAAAATTAATACCCACTCCCAAATTCCCATACCATTTCTTAGCCTATAACCAAAAACTAGTTTTTAAAAGAAAAAATTTCAGCCCTGGCTGGCGTAGCTCGGTGGATTGAGCACAGGCCTGCGAACCAAAGGATTGCAGTTTGATCCCCAGTCAGGGCACATGCCTGGGTTGTAGGCCAGTTCCCAGCAGGGGACACATGAGAGGCAACCAACCATACATTGATGTTTCTCTCCCTCTCTCCTTCCTTTCCCCTCTAAAGGTAAATAAATAAAAATCTTTACAACATTTACTCATATTAAAGAAAATTTCTATACGAAACCTACTCCTGGGGTTATTTTTATTGTTTGTTCTGCCTTATCTGGAAAATAATTTATAAAAACAAAAAACAACCTTAATGAAACTTGAAATTAAAGAACAAAAGTGGAAACAGGAAAGGGTATCACCAATCGTTTTGTGCTCTAAGAAGGCATGGAGAATGAAAGATGCTCCCCAGCTTACCCCCTACAAATTTGGAGTTTTATTTATTTGATGTTTCTAATAATTTTATATTTTAAATTACATACTAAACAAGGATGGCCACCATGTAGCATGTCTACTGACTACAAAACTGGCCATTCATTTGTGTGCCCTGGAATTTACTGCTGTTTTTTCAATTTTACTACAGGCATTCTGTAACCTCCATTTGTACTGTACATCAGATTTCTGTTTTTCCTGAAAAGTAGCTAGCCTTTATTCTTTTATAACTTTTAAAACTGAATTTAGTAAAAATACATAACTTAATATCATGATTATATCAGTAACAGACTATAAAAAACATAAGTCAAAGAATTAAGTCCCAATTTTAACATATCACAGAGGTAAAAGATAATTTCAAAGTAGTGACAGTTTTTATTTGCTATTTTTAAAACTCAATTCACACCTCAAAATCATATTAAACTCTTACATAAACTTCATCAACATGATCCTACTGTTTTGAGTTAGGAAAATACAGTAAGACCAACTTATATTACTTTTTTACAGAATCAAATTCTGAGTAACCAAGTCAACCCAATACTTCCTACCTGGCCACAGGTTCTACAACATTTTGTATAAAGTGAATTTGTGTCTATGAATACTATCAGTATAAGTAAACACTTATACTCTGTTTATAAGTAAGCCTACCATTCAGATTAGTGTTAGATTGCTAATGAAGACTGGCAAGAAAAATATTCTCTCCTATTGATTATTTAAGAAATCCATCTCATACGCTCTTCATTTACTTCTATGTGTATTTACTCCATGCACAATGCCTGTAGATTGTTTAATGCCCCCTACGGGGAAAAAAAAAAACAAAAACAAAAAAAAACAGACTTCTCTGAGCAGGTGACTTATTTAAGCTGAACACCACCACTTGAAATTACCACATTTTTAATGACCTTTGGCCACAAACGTCAAAATGTTTCCATCCCATTTCCAGACCTAAGCAAGAGACGATTTATTTTTGATAAACTCTAGTATTTATTAAATTATAAATTTTGTAATCAAAAAGAAAACTGGATCAAGAGAAACATCAAACTACAAGGACTAGACAGCAAAGTGTATGGGAACGCCATGAAATATGTTACAGACAAGATTATGGAACGTTCAGTTATTAGAGGTGTTCTTTACACTTCCATTTCAGTAACTTTACTAGTAAAGTTTTCGTCTATTTTAAAATCCCAAATTCACATGTATTCTCACATTAAGCTTCCTGTTAAAACTGATACTGGACATTTCATAGGTGCCAAATTTTAGTTAATGGTTTTAAGTCAATCCATGCAGAAAAGTTAAGACAAAATGCAAGAGTCAGATGGGACGATTAAATGCACAGATAATACAGATACACCGGCCAAAAGAACTTTAGAAATCTTTAAAAACTGTAAAATAAACAGACCTCAAGAAAACTGGGTTATTACTAAACAACTCTCAACTATTAACACCCAAGTTCCTTATATTAAATAAATTTCTCAACAGAGACATGTTAGACATTTTAATTACAGATCTATCCTTCCTATACCCCTTCCCACCCCAACTCCCAAAATGTATTATTAGGGATGAGTATGTTATGTGGGCAGAAATTTACAGATAACCATTTTAACCTTGAGCATGGAGTTGAAGACTTTTTTAATTTAAACTTCGGTTACTGTGCACTGTCCATCAGGCCTTCTAGATCTAACAGTGCTACTCACTGTTACACCCCCTGCTAGTGATCCATCAGTTCCTGATCGATCTGCTCGATCAGATACTGTCTGGTTTGTGTTAGGAACCAAGAGTCTCTGTTGGGTCAAGGAGTGTTGTGCAACAAGCGCTGATACATCCTCACTATCACTACTGGCATCTGATTCAGTTTCTTCAATGGAAGTATCTGGTGCTGGTACCCTGCCTGAAGTTGGTAATTCATGGTCTTCTCCTTCCCCTCTATGGCTCCTTTCAGCCAGGCTGTCTCCAATGAGCTGTAAATGAGCAAAAGAGTCTTCCAGAGAAGTGCTTGCATCAGGGGTTGGTGTTGCAGGGCTTGTTAACTGACCATCTACTGATGTCAGGGGCCTTACAGAAGAAGACACCAGAGGCTGAACAGAAGCTCCACTCTGTGCCGATACACTGTCCGCTCCATCAGCAGAGCTCTCTCTTGCTAGGTTTACAGTATTAGCATCACAGTCCAGCCTAAGTCCAGCTACTCCCTTCTTTGGTATATCTATTATATCCCGCTTAATTTTCCTGCGACGTCCATGTTCATTTCGCCTATATTGAACCATATTTTCAAGATCGGCAACATACAGAAATCCAGCAATTAACATTTCAGTGCTCTTTTTACCTTTGGAGAAAGCATCTTCCAGCTCTCTACTAGTGCGTTCATCGTACTGCCACCACCCGTTTCTTCCTTCATAATACCATGCATATTCACCATTCCCTCTACTTGCTGCTTTGAGTTCTTCTGGTGACAATAAGGTTGGCTTGTCAAGGAAATCCTCAGGAATTTCTTGTCGACATAGGGCACATCGCTTTCCAAGCCATGAAGCTCCCTTTACACACAGATAGCAGAAAACATGTTTACAAGGCAGACTAACTGGGTGAACACATGTTTGCAGACAAATGGCACATTCAGGGACAGTTAGAGAAGGTGCGGTATTAGAACAGGACTCATTCGCTTTCTTGTTCGTAGGAAGCATGTTTACTGAGTGATCAATTTCACCACAGCCAGCCATCCTAAGAAAATAAAATACGTATGTTATGACTCTGTTTTAACTTTTAATTCAACAATTCAGGAAAAACTTATAAAACACCTATCATATGTAAGCCACATACTAGACAACGGGGATACAAAAATGAAAATACAGGAAAAACTCTTAACGTGTAAAAAATCTTTTTGGTTTGTATACCATTAATTTTTGCTTGTTGGGGGCAATAGGGGTCACAAATGTTAAGCCTAAAATTAAAAAAATACAATTAAGGTACAGATAGATTTTAAATAAATACACCATTTTATTCAGTCACAGATCATGTAAGATAGAACTAAATGAGATTTAAAAATGTACAGTACATTCTAGACTCACTTTGACAATCAGTCTGGAAAGCAGTTACAGAAACAAAAAAAATGGCTGAAAGTAATTCAGATGACCATTACAGAAAGTGATGACTTTGTAGCCTTTTAGGATATTAATGGGTGGCAATTTTGCAAATATTACCATATGTTAATGTGCTTTTGGTCCTTGAAAAGTACACCACACGTAACTAAGACTAAAGCTGCAATCCCAGAGGCTCCCTAGCCCTGCTGTGAATCTGAAAGCACAGGTTAAACCAGTCATTTCATTCCCTCTCTGTGAAACACTCTCTTTTAACAGCCTCTTTTTGTTGCCATGACCTTTTTCTAAACCACATATGCTCTTCCTGCTGTACTCCTTCAAAATGACCTTATCTATTCTAATGGCTTCAATTGTTACCTATATACAAATGATTCACAAATTGATATCACCAGCTCAGGTCTCTCTTTTCAGCCCTAGACGTATAGTTCTAATTACCTATTTTAGATCTCTTCTCCAATGCCACGGAGACACAAAAACTAAACTCAAGATGTTTCCTCCTCATTTCCTCCTTTACAGCACCACCATCCGCTTTTTGAAGCTAGAAATCCATACCGGAAATTGCCCTTTTCTTACCATTTTCCTATCCAAAACATCAGCAAGCCAACATTTTATTCTCTATCTCCTGAATCATACTACTATCATCCATCTCTACACTTCCCTAGCCACCAAGTGCCCATTGTTTATTTAATTACTGTGTATGACTTTTAATTGGTTCAACCTTACCACCTGCTTAAAAAGTTGATTTTAGGACTAAGACCAGGATATCTCTATGCCCTGAATGGTCTGGACCCCAAGTCCCATGCCAGCCTCATCTCACCTGAAACTTTGCCTTGATTGGCCTTCCAGCCACACTGGCTACTCTCTCCAATAACAGTTTTTCTCCACATGTCCTCACTTCCCACCTCCCCAGCTCTCCATGGGCAAACTATTTCTCATATGACATCCCTCTGGACAAAGCCTCCATGACTACGTCAAATCACCTTCCCCGCCCCCCTACTACCATGCACTTCTCATTTGTAGCACTTAACAGAACTGCAGTGTTACACCTACCTGTGGAATTATTTTGTTAATGTCAGTTTCCCCATAGGTGGGTGGGCTTTATAAGGGCAGAGAATAGGCCACTCTTGGCTCATTTCTGTATTTCCATATATAATGTATGGCAGACGTAGAACACTCAAAATTTTGTTAAGAAAATGAATGTTTTCCCTAAGAAAAATATGAATACATCGCATTATGAAATAAGTTGTGGGGGATTTTGTTTTATTTTCAATAACATTAAGTTAAACAGCTGACTGATAAACACTTTCTTCCCTAAGTGCTCACTTACACATACCTTTGGAATGTATAAAAATTCCGTCGGTACAATTAACGATCAGTCCTGAAGCAGCACCCCATATACTGATAATCACCTATGTGATGACTATATTCTGAAATGCTGCAAATGGCCAAGGGAGAAAGGATAACCTAAATAAAGGCAGTTTATGCAATGAGACCAAGAGTGGACAATAAATCTAAAAACCTGAATGTTGGTTTCCCTGTTACTTATATACACTTAGGCACTCAGTTAAACCCTTAGTCTAAATTTCCTCACCTGCGTATCACAGTTTATAAAACTTACGTGAGAATAGCACCCCCCCAAAAAAAAAGCTTTGTAATCACTAAAGCTCCCCTGATGTTACAATCATGTAAGACCAAGGGAGAAAATGACATGAATGTCCAAGATGCCCTGAAGAGAAGAGAGGAAAAAAAGAAAGACACAGACTTGTCAAACTGGGTGTATGAAGGTTATACACTAGTCTAGAATTTAGGACTTCTGCATTGTTGATTCAGATAAGCATTTATTACACAACTACTATGGTCCATGTACAGTGAAGAGTACTGACAGAGGTAAAGATGTGTAAGACACATCCACTGTATAAAATATGCAAACATGCATACAAGCAAGCATATAATCAGACGATGGCTTGATTCTTGCAGTAACAAAAATGTGTTAGATACTTATTAAAAGTAATCATCATGAGAGAGATGACAGGATGGATATAGGTCAGAAAGTTTAGGGTACAGGAGGCTGGGAGTGGAGGAAACTCAAGGCAGAGACATTGAGTCAAATAACCAATGGAAAGGCAGGAGATGAAGTGATAAGGTAATCAGACTGAGTAAGTGTAAAATTTTAGAAAGAAAAACAAAAGCCTGGTAAAATTTAAACAAAACGCTGAATGTGTTACTATGACAAATACTTTAAAAAATACATAATCCAAAACCCTGCTATATTTAAGTAAAATTGACACAAAAAGACAATTTTCCATCAATCTGGAAGATAAGTAGCTAAGTTAGCTTATCTACAAAAACATTACTCTCTGCCCTACTTAATATGACCAATATCTTATATAATCCTTATTCTATGCATGGATAAACCTAAATATATAATTTAAAAACTAAAAAAAAAAGAGAGAGAAGCTATTACAACCACCCCAGGGGAAAGCATGAGCTGTAAATAACACACTTGTAAAAGCACAATTCTGTTTGGGCAGGAATTCTCATTAGAATGGAGTTCTTAAAGAATGAAGGAAAGGTGGATAAATTTCACAGAAAACACACAACAGGCAACTAAAGCTTCATTATTTCACCTGAAGCACTTTCAACTACCTATTTGGCATAGCAGATTTGAAATTCTGCTTTCATTTAGCCCACCAACTATACCATTAGTCTAAATAAAAAATGAAGGAAAAACTTAGTAAATACATCTTACACAATTGTGGATGAGGCACATAAGAGTGCACAAGATAAAACTCAATATAGGACAAGATAAAGACAAGACAACCCAAACTACTAGACTGCCTATAAAACATAACACATACTTAAAAACATAAGACATACCACTTTAGTTTCCTACAAAGTCTCTATTTTGCATAGTTTCAATGACCTTCAAATAGGTCAGATGCTAACATGTGCAGAGGATCATACAAATATGTAAATAAGAAATGCCCCGCCCTCTTTTGCAGAGCAAGGGTCTGAAAAAGAGTTAATGCTAATCAATGAGAGGTATTCTCTAACTAATAAATGTCTTAGGAAACTTAGTGGCCATTCAAAAAAGGGAATATATTTCCTGGTTACTAAATTAAGAGTAACTTAATATTTAAAAATTTGGAGTTAAGGTTAGTTCAACTCTGTTAAAGAACATACATATAACTGGATTTGTAATGTGATATTATAACTTTTAAGCACAAATCCCATTCTTCTTCTTCCCATAGAAGACTTAGAGGGTTATGGAAAACTGCTTAAGTTCTTAGATTTTGTTTAATCTTCTTGAAGACATCTAGTCAAAAGGTAAAATTACTATAAATGAAAAAGGTCTTTAGTTTACATGGTACTGAATAACTTTTTAGACAATAAAAATTTCAAATATTGAAAACCAGATTTTTTAAAGTGTGAGCTCAGAATCTAATTATAAACACAACAAAAAGGAAAGAAAGAATAAGTTAACATACTACCTTTTGGTAAGTCCAAAGCTATCAAAAATGAATGTCACCTTCCTTCCCCAAACTTTGACTACTTTTAAAAGAAAAAAATTCCTTAAATCTTTAGCCCTCCTAGAATACAAAGAGTTTAAAGTTTAATACAAGTTAAAAATGAAACTTTCAAATTTAAATTTAACAATGACCATTTCTAAGTCCTCTTAATCAGGAGTGTCATACTCATTTTCCCCAAGGGCCACATCAGCCTCACAGTTGCCATCAAAGGGCTGAAATAATTTTAGGACTGTATAAATGTAACTAGTCCTTACCTGTTATAGGAGTTGAAATTACATTCAGAGTTGAATGGCTTCACAGTCTGCACTCTTAAATGCTACAGAGATTGCCTCCAAAATAATTATGATTGCCCAAATATAAGAACCACCATCAATAATGTTAGGAAAGGTAGAGCTCCAAGGAGTTACTAAGAAGTTTCACAAAGTGGTAAAGGAATGAAATTTATATTGCCTGCCTCAAGAGCTCTGTCACTTTTAATATTTCCCTTTTTTCCCCCTTCCATTTTGAACACAGAAAAGTATGTGAGCATCTAAAATGCCCATTGCACAAGGAAGGAGATGCAAAATACTTGCCATCAAAGTGTAGAGGCAGATAAATTAATGGCCACATTCACACATTACTGATTAGTTTTACAAAAGGCATAACAGATACCAGAGAGAAAAAAGAAAGGAATGGTAACTAACAGGGATGTGATACATTTTGAATGAACAAAATGTACTATGCAATAAGTGCTGCAAAGACCTTGTACATTATGCTATCTTAACAAATTTAAACATTTATTCTAAATATCAATGATTCTTAATAAATTTTAGGTCACAGACTTACTAAGATTTGATGAAATCTTACATAAAATTTCAAGGGGGTTCAAGAATCTCTATAAAGCTGGTCTACCTAGAACGCCCAAAGAGGCAAGAGGAATCTACTGAAGGATTTTATGTAAGACAGTGACAGCCAACTTTAGTAACATCAAGATCACTTGGACAGCAGTTTAAAGGAAGACTTGGTGGCACAGTTCAAACACCTGGATTCCCCATCCTTTACAAGATAATGGGAAGGAGGCTGCAGATGTAAGGTTCCAACAACAGATATGAGAAATAGGAAGGAAACAGAAATAAAAACATGGGTTACTGATGAATGGTGGTACTATATCCATCAGGATACAGAACTGAGAGAAAGTTCTGTCTCAGATATAATGATTCTGAGATAATTATGAAGTCATCAGATGAAGATAGGTAGATGAAAGCTGAATTTACTAGACTGGTACTCCAAAGAAATCTAAGCTCAAAGAATACTGATGAATCAACATACATGGTTCTTGGAGACATGAAAATGGATGAATGCCCAAATTAAATCTGTAAAGACAATAGACAAAAAGAGTCAATTACAGAACCCTGAATTACCCCAACATTTCTAAGTAAGGCAAAATATGAGGGGGACTCAAAGAAACTGGAAATTATCTTCTGGAGGTGGGCCCCTTTTTAGCTTCCCCCTCTCAGTGAGTGTGCTAGGAACCCATCTGTATCAGTGCACCAACAGGTATTGTTGTGAGGGGCTGCCTTAGGCTTCAGTGAATTTTTTGGAAGACTCAATACATTTGCCCATTTCATGATGGGTGATTTACGAACACATCTGCCCAAATAGCGGTGAGTGTTCAGCAGTTTTTGCCCAAAAATGACAGGATCCCTGTGCCCCATGCTCCCTATTCATTCTATCTCACCCTGAGCAACTTTTTTTTGTTTCCCCTGATGAAAAAAGTCCTCAAAGGGAAATATTTTGCCAATATGTAAGAGGTAAAACAAAAAATGGCAGAAGCAGTAAAAGGCATCAAAATCGACAAGTTCAAAAACTGTTTTGAGCAGTGGGAAAAACGTCTTCATGGATGTACTGTAACAAATGGAGAGTACTTTGAAGGTGACTGAAGTTTAAACTTGTAAGAATAAATACACAATTTTTAATAAATAGGGGTTTTGGTTGGGGTCCCCCCTCATAGACTGCAAAGGATGCAAAAAATGGTCACAGAGAAATAGAGAATAAAGAGAGACCACCACCATAAAGGCCATGAGGGAGACACTTGCAAAAAAGAAGGGTCAAACAAGGAGAGGACTTATAAAAGTTACTCTTTAACTCAGGAAAATCTCCACTTTTGTAGTGAAAATTTGGTGCATAAACTGGGAGCACCACATAGTGATTAGCCATTTTGCTTTCCCAGAGACCATTGAACCTGCTATCAGTAACTTTTCACTCAGCTAAGACATCTTATTTTCCCTATTCGCAAACAGGCTATTACTATATAGCACTTCCAACCTTTTAGCTAAGAGATATACTGAACTCCCTTATCATTAAGAAATTAGATAAAAATGAATTCTCAAAATTTATCTTTATTTTCTATCTTCCTTATTACCATTCCTCTTGGCTCAGATGAGGCACTGCTAGTTGTCTTCCAAGATAATCCCTCAATTTCTGGAATTAGAACCATGTTACCCTGGCTGGTGTAGCTCAGTGGATTGAGTGTGGGCCTGCGAACCAGACAATCATGGTTCGATTCCCAGTCAGGGCACATGCCAGGGTTGCAGGCAGGTTCCCTGCAGGCCAGTTCCCAGCAGGGGACGCATGAAAGGCAACCATACATTGATGTTTCTCTCCCTCTCCCCTTCCCCTCTAAAGATAAATAAAAAAAAAAAAAAAAACATGTTAGTTCCTCCAAGATTTTGAACATTCTCTAACCCTACATTTCAAAATCAACTACATGTGAAGAATAGTAATGGCCTCTTTTAGGCTAAATCTATATGATCACATTGCACTGAATATTATTAACCACTGACTTCTTTTGCTAAGTTTTTTTAAAGGCTTTATTTATGTATGTTTACAGAGAGGGGAAGGCAGGGAGGAAGAGAGGAACAGAAACATTAACATGAGAAACATCGATCTGTTGCCTTTCATACAAGCGCTAACAGGGACCAAACCTGCAACCCCAGCACGTGCCCTGACCAGGAATCAAACTAGTGACCTTTCACTGGGGGGCTATGCCCAATCAACTAAGCCACACTGGTCAGGGCTCTTTTTCTAAAAGTTTTACTCTCCATTTTCATGATGGTACTCTCTCCCAGTTCTCCTATTTCATTTTCTCTTGTCTTCTCTAGCTTACCTTAAATACCAGCATTCTTCACAAAGGCCCTATTTTCATACAACATTCTATATCTAAACAATCCACTGAACATTCCAAACACATATACTTACACGGCACCCAACATCTAGTATCCAGAACCATTCCACCTCAGACCTACATTTTCAAAGAGTCTACCTTATTATTTTCCAAATACTAAGTGAAACCAAATGTAACTAAAAACAAAATATCTGCTGGTTTAAAGTTGTATCTTCTTCCTTTGATCTTTAGCTTATAAAAAACTCTGAACCATTCTCATTGCTCCCTTATTCCTTGGCTGTTCTCTTTTCTATGACAGAAACTTATTATGTGTTCCCCTTATTCCCAAAGCCCGTGATCCAAATTCTAGTCCTGGACACCTTCATATTCACAATACTGACCTCCTAAGTCACCTCCCTGACTTCAGCCTTTCTTCCTCTCATCTTTTCTCAATTCAGTCATAATGAATTAAGTATTCCCTCCACTGAATCTTTAATCATTTTCTACTGTCTACATAATCTACAGTAAATTCCTAAACACTGGCTTAATTACACTGATACAGCCTTTAAAGTAATACAGAATCAGTTAAAAGTCTTGGCTCTACATTTATTTTCACTATGTTGACCAAAACAGTATTTTCCAAACTTCCCTAAAGGTAAGACTAAGTTGATGTGTTTTCCCCTAGAAATCTGGACTTAACTGGGTTAGTCTAAAAACTTGTGTTTTGTTTAATAACTGTCCCAAAGGGATTAACTCAGAAATTTAGTAAACAGGAACAAAATAACTTCGTCTAATTCTGTTTATCAGTAAATAAAGCTACTACTATCTTTCACAGTGATTAATTTCTATAATTGAATAAAATACCCACTTAAGAACCTGGCAGTGTAGTAGGTACTAAGCAAACACTCATTCCCTTTCCTGTAAAATCTTTCTTCCACGCCACTTCCCCACTTAGGCTTGCTTCCTGACTCCCCTGAGGTGCCTTCATGTTTTAGGCAGCTCTGCCCCTCCTCATCCCCTTAGCTTGAAAAATATTACCTAATTTCCTGATTGTTAAAATTCTATTGATTCTTTAAGATCATGCCAAAAGTTCTTCTGTTCACCCTGAACCATTCAGATGGAATAAATGCTCTCAGTTCCAAAAGCATTTTATTGCTACCTCACTATGGCATTTCTCCTACTATTTAATTATTAAGTTTATATATATGTCTCTCTTATTAGACCAGAGCCTAGGTCCTTGACAGTCAGCACACAGACTATTGGAACCACAGGATTAAAAAAAAAGACAGATAACAGATGGATAGACAGATAACATGAATAAAATTAAATAAAAGATATATCTGCCCTAATGAAGAAAAAGCTTATTGATTTAATTTTTTATGAAATTCTCAACAAGAATGATATGGTCACACTTTTAATGAGTATATAATCAAAGTATCATATTGGAAAAGTAGATGACAGTAGTTATATATCAAAGTAGAAGTACATGTGAAATAGTATGTGTAAGAGTCACTTTTTTGTTCAGTATTTTAAACACTGTCACCACCAAGACTACAAATGTCTAAAATGTTCACTGCATTTTTCAAGCAGGACAGTGTTCATATTAATGTGGAAGATGTAAATATGATGTTTATTGTATAAAAATGTTTCATCCAGAATAGAATGAAGTTCAATATAGGTATGATCATGTGGTACTGTAACATTTGGCAGCACATTTTATAAAGACTAAATAATAAGAAAATAACTAGTAAAACTGGGGATAAGAGTGAAATCAATATAAATTAAAATGCAATAATGTACAAATTTTAAAAAAAATTATTTTAGCAAAACAAGTTTTTAGCTCACTAGTATTTTATAACCCATAAGTGCCTCTTATTTATAAAAGCTGATACTGTCTACCTAGCATGGTTATTTAAGTAAGTTACTATGTAAAGAGAAAACAGGACATAGAAGAAACTGGGAGATCTTTCTAGTTTTTTAGTCTTCTATGAGCAAATTTTCTGTCTACAGTTTCACTCTTTGAAGAGACTTTTACCTATGAGATTTTTGTAAATCCTACATTAGTGATAAGTTAATCTAAATAAAATTGCTAACTCAATAAAATATCTAAAAATCAATACAAAAGCGCTCATTTTGTAAAATGAGAAATGACAGATATTTGATTTACTGCATTTTATCCCAGTACACGTAATTTACTACAGCGCTGGGAAACCATGATGCCACACTTACATTTCTATTATAGACCCTACAGGAGCTCATCACAAAAGTAAGGAGTCATCTCTACCGCCATGCAGCCACTTCACTGTGTTTGCTCTTCCACTGCTGGTTCATCCTGTGCTGCAAAAGAAAAAAATTCAACATCAAGTTCTCTACAGACTAATTAAGAACAACAAAATTATTTAATTATGAAAGGGTATGACCCTTTCATTTAACATAGTGCAGTGGCAAATTTTATCTTCCAAGTGAAAAAATTTCAAGACCAAGATGTTTGCTTTCACCACTATTCTACACTATACTAGAAGTTCTAGCCAGAGCAATTTGACTTGAAAAGATTTAAGGCATACAAATTTCTAAGAAAGAAGTTAAACTACCTTCATTTGCAGAGACAGTAAAACCATCTCTATTTTCTACACAGAAAATCTCAAAGAGTCCACAAGAAAGCTATTATAGCTAACACACAAATTCAGCACCAGGGTTGCATAGTAAGTCCATTTTGTTCCTATGTCTAGCAGTCAGCAATCCAAAAAGGAACTCGAGGAAGCAATTCCATTTATATTAGCATCTAAATGAAAAAAATACCCAAGAATCAACATCACCAACTTCTGACATAAATTAAAGAGCTAAATAAATGGACAACTAGTGTTCATGAAATGGTGTTCAAAATGATGTACAGATTCAAAAATTATTATAAAAATTCCAACAGCATTTTTTGCAGAAATAGAAAAGCCAGTTCTTAAATTGATATGGAATTGTGAAGAGCCCTAAATAGCCAAAACAATTGAGGATAAAAAAGAAACAAATCTGGAGAACACACATTTCCTGATTTTTAAACTTACTACACAGCAATAGTAATCAAGACAATGTCATACTGGCATAACAACAGACAAATGAGGCAGTAAAAGAGAGTCCAGAAATAAACCCACATATATAGAAGGCCAGCTGATTTTCAAAAAGGGTGCCAATTCCATTCAATGGGAAAAGAATAGTCTCTTCAACAAATGCTGCCACAATTGAATTTTTGCACGCAGAAAGTGAAACCCAGACCCCCAATTCACACCATATACAAAATAAACTCAAAATGGACTGACAACCCTAATATAAGAGTTAAGCCACGCAAGTCTTAGTAGAAAATGTTACAGGTAAATCTCCATAATCTAGAATTTGGTAATGGATTCCTAGATATGACACCAAATGTATGAGCAACAAAAGAAAAAAATGATAAACTGGATTTCATCAAAATTAAAACTTCCTAGCATCAAAGGACATTATCAAGCAAGTAAAATGACAACCTACATTACAGGAGTCTATGTCTATGAAGAGGGTTTACTATCTGGAATGTAGAATATTCCAGAATTCGTAGAATTCCTACAACTCAACAACAAAAATACAAAAGAAACATTTTAAAGTGGGCAAAAGACTTGAATAGACATTTGTTCAAAGAAGACTTAGAAATGGCCAATAAGAACATGAAAAGATACTCAATATTATATTAGTCATTAGGAAAATGTAAACGAAAATCAAAACTATATGCTATTTTACATTTACTTAGATGGCTACAATTTAAACAAACAAAAAAAGAAAATAAGCATTGGTGAGGATGAAGAAACTGGAAACCTTGTACTGTGTTGGTGCGAATGAAAAACAGTAAGTATAGCCACTGTGGAAAAGTGTTTGGTGGTTCCTCAAAAAAGTTAAATGTAACAACGGACAATTCTGCTCCCAGGCATATATCCATAGGAACTGAAAACAGGGACTTGGATACTTGCACATCAATGTCTGCTGTGACTATTCACAAAAGTCAAAAGGTGGGCACAGCCCAAGTGCCCAGTAACAAAAGAATGGATAAACAATATGACATGTAAAAGTGTAGTATTATTCAGCCATAATAAGAAATAAAAGTTTTCATACATGCTACAACATGGATAAACCTTGAAAACATAAACCTTATTTCACTCTGGCTAAGTGAAATAAGCCAGACACAAAAGGACAAATGTATGATCTCACGAATACAAAATATTAAAAATAGGCACATTTAAAGACAGAGTAGACTAGAGGTTACCAGCGGTTAGAGAGAGGGGTACAGAGTTTTTGTTTGAGGTGATGAAAAAGTTGTGGAAATATACAGTGCTGATGGGTATAAAACATTGTAAATGAAATTAACGACACTAAACTGTAGACTTAAAATGGCTAAAATAGTGAAGTTTTCATTTATTTTTTACAATAACAATTTTTAAGTGAAACAAGTTTTTTATGGATAAAGCGGCCCACATGATATGTACCCTATAGCCATTGCCTTCCTTCAAGGAGACACTGTGTGCAGAGATGAGCTTATCACATTAAGACCTCCTGACATTTATATGTATGTCCAACTTTACAGCCATGCCAAATTCTCCAACTGCCTCCTGTTCAAAGAATCCAAACGCAACAACTTCAGGTCCTGAATCCTTTTTCTTCTCATTCCATTATTTCCTCCTTCCACTTCACCATGCCCAATGCAGAAGGCATCATATTACATAGAACTTAGAATCAAGTACACACACAATGAGTGAAGAAATGAAGGGCCTCACAGAAAACAGCAAGATAGAAGCTTGCAATCTCCTTTCAGTTCCATATGCCTCTCACAGTGTGGGAATCTATCTCACTAAAAAATCTGGATTATTTTAGTGTTTAAAGATAAATCTTTTTTTGATATATGGCCTTAAAATACTAGTTTATCCCACAAATGTTTAATAAAACAATGTCTCAAAACTAGATAATTTTCAAAAGTAACTGATTAAATAGGATTTCTAAATAATCTTTTTGTTTTATTCTGACTTTAGAACTTACATGGTATGAACTACACTGTCCCGATTCCCCCTCCACCTAACCCATATTCTTTACCCTCTAGGCACCTATAACTTCAAGGGCACCACAGAAGTCTCCTACTCAAAACAGAAACTGCCCAACTGCACACACAGGACAGGAAGAAACATTCTACTATTCTAACACCATTACTCTTAACAAAACACTTATTCTTTGACGTCTCTACCACTGGCTATAATCACCTACAGTTCTCCCTTAACCTTCCAGAAAATGACTTAATGTTCTCGCTCTTGGTTATTTTCTTCAGGCTAACTCCTAATACATCACTATGAACCTATTTAAATATCCCTGAGAATGAATCTAACACCAAACTCAAAGGTTCTTAAACCTGTCCCTCTGAGGCTGCTTGTTAAAAATATGCATTCTCTGGCCCTAACCCTAGAGATTCTAGGCCAATAAATGTGGGTTGAACCCTAGGAATCTCACTTCAAATGGTACGGATGCAGGTAGGGCTTCACACACAACCTGAGAAACAGTCCTCAATTTTCAATTACTAAAATCCTAAATTCAGAGAATTTCACCCCCTTCCTCCAACAACAAAATATAATGGCAACATTTGGAACTGGATGCCACCTAAAACTGTGGCCTCTCTCAATCTTAATATCATTTTCAGATTACAAATTCTGGTGCTTCTAGATCATTAACTCACTCCCACGCCTTTTCTTTTTTTAAATATTTTATTTATTTATTTTTAGAGAGAGAGGAAGGGAAGGAGAAAGAGTGGGAGAGAAACATCAGTGTGTAATTGCCTCTCATGTGTCCCCCTACTGGGGACCTGGCCTGCAACCCAGGCATGTGCCCTGACTGGGAATCAAACTGTCAACCCTTTGCTTCACAGGCCCGCCCATGCTCAATCCACTAAGCTACACCAGCCAGGGTCCACACCTTTTCTTTTAATTTCATGGGAATTCCAGTCTCTTGACCACAATCTTTCCTTTATCCAGTTCCCAATCTCATTTTCTTTCCTGCCCAGGCTGGAGCTCACTTCCTAAAATAACTGTTGGGAGAAATAAAACATTAAAAAGCTAAACTTACTTATTCACATATCACAACATTTGAGCTCTAATTGTGAACAAGGCACATAGCTACAAAAAATATAAAGATGTCTAAGTTTTAAACCTTTCTTTGAAGAACTTAAAATCTAACAGCAGTAGTTACTACATTTGTAAGATTCAAGCTACCATTACATCTTTTGACAGGCACAAGATTTACCTCTCTGTTCAATGGCAATGAATTCTCCAGAATGCAGATAAATATCTATGAATAAAATCGATTTTAGTAAATCTTGCAATCTACGGTAACTTTTCCAACTTCTGTATCATATGGGTAATTTTCAACGTAGACTCAAAATAAGTAATAACCACTGAGGGAAGGAAAACTGATTAAAAATCCACCTAGTAATCTAGATATTAGCTATGAAAATTGTGATCCCCAGCCAACAGTATCAGCATTAGCTGGGAGTTCCTGAAAAATGAAAAGTCTGGAACTCCAGTCCACACCCAAGGAATCGGATCTTCAGGTGACTCATATGCATATTAATGTTTGGAAACACTATCCGATCTCTATCACTGAATATTTAAAACCCTATGAGATATAACTAAATCCAGCTTATAAATGAGGAAACCCAAGTTCACAAGGATTTAACCCAAAATCAATAGTGGGAGATGGGATTCAAATTCAAGTGCCTAAAAAAAAGTACACTTCTTCAGTATACTGTATCTCAGAGAAAAGATCCAGAATAGCAATATGAAATAGCATAATAGAAATATGATGCAAGCCACACATGTAAATTTAGTCTATTTGCAGTATTAACAACAATAAAAAACCAGGTAAAGTTAATTTTAAATAATATATTTTATTTGCCCTGGCTGGTGTGGCTCTGGATTGAGTGGTGGCCTGTGAACCAAAGAGTTGCTGGTTCGATTCCCAGTCTAGGGCACATGCCTGGGTTGTGGGCCAGATCCGCAAAGGGCAAGAGGCAACCACACATTGATGTTTCTCTCCCTCTTTTCCTCCCTTCCCCTCTCTAAAAATAGGTAAATAAAATCTTAAAATATATATGTGTATATTATTTAACCTAATATATTCAAAACATTACCATTTCCATATATATTCAATGTAAAGAAATTATTAATGTGCTATTTTTACATTCTTAAATGTATATGTACACTCTTTTAAATCCAGTGTGTTTTTTACACATACAGCACAATTCAGTCCAGACTAGCCACATATCAAGTGCTAAATAGCTCCTAGGCTAGTAGCTACAACAGACAGTACGGGTTTTGAATATCTTACACGTTAACAATTAGTTTTTAACACAAAACTGGCTACTTACTACAAGAATCTTTAAATAAACAAAATGAATTCCATGTTAGTTTACCCACACTTTTGCTAGCACAGATGAAAAAGAAAAATTGCATATTCTGTTGTGATCAAATCTGACAGATTTAGGTGGTCCCAATTCTGCCAAACCAATCCATTAATTCAGGCTTTTACAATACTATATAGGCACAAAATAAGGCACAGAATGTAATATTCAGAACGAACATGGGAAGTAGCCCTCACAAAACTTCTACATTTGAAACCAAAGATTTTTTTTCTTAAATAGGGGTGGGGAGGGAGAGGCTTTTTTACTTTCAGCCAAAAATAGAATAGTTTAATTCTAACTACAGGCGAGAAATAATTTGGCAAAAATAAATAATTCATACATACATAATTCCTGCTGCAATGAATGATTTGTAAATTATATACCAAACTCAATACAATTTATGGATCACTACAGTAAAATTTACAAAAAATCTTGACATGCAAATACCAATTAGTTAATGGGTTAATGTTCCTTCTTTAGGTGCAAATTTATACAGAAATGGTTAGAAAGGTAACATCAAAAGCAAAAAAAGGGAAAAGATTTAAACTAAATTAGATATTTCTCCCTCTTACCAATTCTGGAGATAAAAAAGTGACACCTATATTTTAAAGCAGATGAAAGAGTTTAGAGGTCATCAGTGAATTTAAATCGTTTACTCACTCAACCAATTTTTAACAATTGAAAATGAAGTATATTGTATTATGTATAACTTCTGGCCACTCAACAAATTTATACTCCTATAATTTGTATATACTGTTATTTTCTTTGAAAAATATCTAGTATTAATTACAATTCTACTTTTCAAGTCAGTCACAAGGAAATAAACAATCAAGCTTATTTTTCAGATACTAGATTCAAATATCTTTTTAAGAATTGTAAGAATTTTTAAGAACCAAAAAAGATAAGTATACAACAGTTAAAATATCAAATTATAGAGATTTAAAGACTTCCTGTATTTTTCCAATTACTAATAAAATAATAGAATAAAATAGTTGTTAGTTATTTTCAAAACACATAAAACAGGACTATTTTATATAAAAGCTATCAGTGACAGAAATGAAAAATATTTCCATTTGAATTTGTGGTATACGAAGGAGGAGGAGAAGGAGGAAAAGGAAGGAAGAGAAGGGAGGAGGAGGAGGAACGGGAGAAGAAGAACCAGTAAAAGGAATAGAGATGGGTTGTAATTTACTTTACACATCTATTTCTTAAAAGAGAGTCCCAAACTGAGATGTAACTAAGTGCCCTAATGTTTCCATTTTCAGCTTTCCCTCTCATCCCGTTGAAACTCAGCTTACTGAAAGCACAAGTCCTAATGGGAAATAAGTCTTTCCTGAAAACTCACAACTCCATGGGACCAAATACTTTATTTTTAAAAATGATTTTCCTGCCTTGGCTGGTGTGGCTCAGGGGATTGAGTACTGGCCCACAGAACAAAAGGCTGCCAGTTCAATTTCCAGTCAGGGCACATGCCTGGGTTGCAGGCCAGGTCCCCAGTTGGGGGTGCACGAGAGGCAAGCACACATTGATGTTTTTCTCCCTCTCTTTCTCCTTCCCTTCCCGTCTCTCTAAAGATAAATAAATAAAATATTTAAAATTTTTATTTCCCTTATTGTATAGCACTTCCCTTAAAAAAACATTCCTGGAGGACTATCTATATAGCTTTCACAATCTTCACACTCAAGCATTAAACCTTTACATTTTCGCCCCAAAATGTGGGCTTTGCATTTTAATAAAACATCAAATGTGAATGTGAACAAATGTCTTTTAATCACAGAAGTCAAACAGAAGCTTCATAGCCTGCAACCATCCTGTAAATACAAAAGGTTCTGCTGCTCATTATCTGTATGACCTTGGTCAAGTCCTGACTCCTGTAACTCATTAGTTACTTCACCCCACTCTATACTTCTGTAATTCTACATTCTAAATACCTTAAGCAATTTAACAAGTTTTGTTTTAATTAACCCAAAAGGTAATAAGCCATGAACACTAACAAGGGGTTGCAGCAAAATGTTAGTAAGACGGTTTCCACAGCCACAAAGAGTGCTCCTAATCCGGCCTGTTTCTTTCACAAACTCAGGTTCCCTAGGCACAAATCAGAAGCCATGCAAGAGAATGGAAAAGGTTCAGCACCTTCTGTTACTACACTGGGGGGAAAAAGCATTCAAATATTCAGCTGACTGTGTATCAGATGTTTCATGCTAATAAACTGCTCATACATAATATACAAACAGACCAATAACATAAAAAGACTTAATACTATCTTCTTCCAAGTCAGGAAATCATTTTCGGATCATTAAAAAAACAAACAAACAAACTTGTCCCATTCTTCTGGCAATTCAAGTTGGTGGAAAATGAAACAATGTATTTTACCAGTTGACACATGTCTACCTTTCTTTTTTATTTCTTGTCTAGTGGCCAGCTCTTTAGAAATATAATTTCCTGATGATCATAGTATTATCAAGCTTTTAACAACCCATAAATAACAAAAACATTCAAATGTCCACCATTATCTTCATTTTGCCCACAAGTTCCCGGGGCCCGTTTGAAACGTAAATTCTAAATTAAAGATTGGGCTTAACAAACTACTCCAATTTAAGACTTACAAAACTAAAATAAACACACCCAAAACCTATTTCTGGAGTGGCTTTCGCTCTTCTGGTTTTCTCTTTCAAATGAGATTTACTTGACCTATTTTCATGTGTTTTTAGAACATCCAGGGACTCATCACAAACAGTATCTGCTGGTCACAAAAACACCAAAGCCAGTAGCATAAATCCTATTCGTGTGGATCTTCTTCATGTGTCCTATATACCATACCACATCTTTTAAAAATCTAAATATAGATTCACTTACGTAAAAAGTCTTACGCTTTCCAAATTCTGTAATTATATACTGCTCTCAATGCCAATTTATACTCTCACAGCCTATTTAAAAAGTAAACACAGAGGAGGGGGCACCTGAAATGTCAATCATAAAAAGACAAAGCGTTTTCTAGCATTTTTGGCTTTCGTCCCCTCTCAATTCGCTTCAGTATCACAAAAATAGCACTTAAACAAAATACACGCACTTCCGAAAACTTGCGAGATAAAAGCTCACTAAACTGGCATTCGGGAAAAATAAAAGCATTTACGAAAACGGATACCGAGGGAAAAGATCTAGTTGCCAGAGTGCGTGTACACTGAGAACAATTTTGCAGCCTTTCGCAAGAAGCCTATGGAAAAGTAAAACAGCGACAACAATGGGAGACCGCACTCCTTCAGACAGGACGGGAGCAGCGAGAGAACTCCGCACCAGCGACCAGAACAAAGCACCAGCCTCCGCTTTTAAGATGCCCTGGGGTTTAGGACGCTCAATTGAACTGGCACTGAGAGATCTAGTTGTTCCGATACTTTTAATTAATCATCAAAGGAACTTAGACTACGCAGCTCTGGGCTTAACCAGGACAAGGTGGAGGTACTACTTTTCCTATTAGGCAAGACCCAGACACTGAGCGAGGGGAGGGGGAGAAGGAAGAGAAAGGAGCAGCCAAAGACGCTCCGGAAAGAGACGAAATGCGGGGACTGCACACCCCGGCTGCGATCTAACCTGAGGCCCCGGTAGAGGCCTCCACACGGGAAACGGGGGGCAGGATACAGCCCTGAACCATCGCGGCCCCTAACTCTGAGGCCGGAAGGACGCAGCTGCCAGGGGAGAGCACAGGGACCTGGCTGCCAACCGAGGCAGCGACCAGGACCCCGGCGGCAGAGGCTGCGCAGTAATGGCCGCTCTCCGCCTCGCACCCAGACCGTGACCACCTCCGGCCGACGACCAGGACACGGGCTGCGGCGAGTCGCCAGCAAAGCAGAGCCATCACAGCCTTCTTGCCTGCGACAGCAGCTACGGTGGGGGGCAGCCGGAAGGGCTAAGCTGGCCCATCCTATCCGGTCTCGTGGTGCACAGCCACTGCCCCGCCGGCCCAAGGGCGTCCGCCGCGGTACCGGCCCCTGACCCCGCCACCGCCCCTCTCAGGCCCGGAGCGCAGAGCCGACCCGGACCCTGTCGCGGCTGGAGGTGACACCGCGGGCCATCAGTCCTCTCACCGAGTTAGGACCCCGGAGGGGCTGACTTTCACCCTGCCCCCGCGAGGGCTTCACCTCCGACTCCCACCTCTCAGGCCACAGCCGTGGCCGCCTCGCAGTCTTTTCTCCTCGGCCTCACAGCCCGCAGCGGCCGGGGACGCGCGCGGCCGTCACGTGACCGGCGTCGCGTCGCGGGGGGGCGGGAACAGCGCCGCGCTCCCGGGCGCTCGCGTCAGCCCCTCCCAGCCCCGGCTCCCCAGTCCCCTGGAGCAGCGCACCGCCCGCCTTCGCCTGCCTGCGCGCATCTGCGGTTTCACTTCCTGAGCCCTCGAAGTGGTTGCTTCAGCTGTAATTGGGTGCAGAAGACTCTGAAAGAGTGTGGGTCCCGCAGAGAGAGATTTGGGACCTAGGAGTAAGACACGCAAAGGACCAGCAGGCGGTGCTGCTCAGAAACCCTGATTCCAGACCCAGAAGAAGCCTTTGAATACCTAGCTGGATTTGGGGGTCAACCGCTGTTGGCAAAACATCATTTGTTCTCGTTTCAAGAAAGAAAAGAAGCCCTTTTGGACGTTTTCTGAAAGGTTGAGCAATGTAATTGAAAAAAAAAAAAGGATCTTTCTTTTTGGACCCATTTTTTTTAGACTAGGCATAGGAAGCTGGAGAAAGAGGTTAATTAGCTTGAGAATCTACACCTAAACAAATAGGTTATTTTGTTGCACGCGGGTGGTTTTAAACATCAAAATCTAGGGTATATCCTCCATTTCACTTTATCTTTTATGGACCTGACGGTATTTTATTAATATGTAGTAAAAATAGAGTGGAAGAGCGTGCTTTTTGTTTTTATTTATTTACTTATTTATTATTTTTCCCTCTTTGCCATCATCCACCCAGCAACTCCCATCCCCCCTCCAATCAATCCCCACACTGTTGTTCATGTCCGTGGGTCATTCAGATGTGTTTTTTGACTATTTCCGTCCCCTTCTTTCCACTATTATCCCCCCTACCTCTCTCCTCTGGCCACTTTCCTCTGTTCCACATTTCTGTATTTATGGTTCTATTTTGCTTGTTAGACTCCTCCTATGAATGAAATCATATGGTTTTGACTGTCACCAGCTGGCTTATTTCACTTAGCATAATGCTTTCCAGATCTATCCATGCTGTCGGATGGGTAGGAGCTCCTTCTTTCTTTCTGCTGTGTAGTGTTCCATCACGTAAATGTACCACAGTTTTTTGATCGACTCATCTACTGATGGGCACTTAGGTTGCTTCCAGCACTTGGCTATTGTAAATTTTGCTGCTGTGAACATTTGGGTGCATGGATTCTTTTGGATTGGTGTTTCAGGACTCTTAGGGTATAATCCCAGCAGCTGGATCACTGGGTCAAAAGGCACTTTCATTTCTAATTTTTGAGGAAATTCCATACTGTTTTTCACAGTGGCTGCACCAGTATGCATTCTCAGCAATAGTGGACTAAGGTTCCCTTTTCTCTACATCCTCGCTAGCAGTTGTTTATTGATTTATCAATGATGGTCATTCTTACAGGTGTGAGGTGATATCCTGTTGTGGTTTTAGTGTGCATCTCTTTTGATGGCTAGTGCTGTTGAGCATCTCTTCATATGATTGTGGGCCATCTCTATGTCCTCTTTGGAGAAGTGTCTATTCAGGTCCTTTGCCTATTTTTTAATTGGGTTATTTTAAACTAGTGTTGAGTGGTATGAGTTCTTTATATATTTTGGAGATTAAACCCTTGTCTGATGTATCTTTGGAAAACAAGTTCTCCCATATAGTCAGTACCCTTTTCACTTTGATGATAGTTTCTTTAGTCATGCAGAAGCTTTTTAATTTGATGTAGTCCCACTTATTTATTTTTCCATTATTTCCCTTGCCCTAGGAGATATGTCAGCAAAAATATTGCTATGTGGGATGTCTCAAATTTTACTGCCTATGTTTTCCACTAGGACTTGTATGGTATCAAGATTTATATTTGTCTTTTATCCATTTTGAATTTATTCTGGTATATAGGGTAATTTGGTGGTCTAGTTTCATTTTTTTGCAAGTGCCAGGCTAGTTCTCCCCTTTTTGTCTTCTAAAAGACAAAATATTCCATGCCAATATCATCTTACTTGCATTGCTGTTGCATTTGTGATCTCATTAACTTTATTCGAGGTTGGAAGTTTTCAGTGTCCTTAAATATACAGATGACTACATTTTCTTATATTCCGCTGAAATGAGTGTTTTTGAGGTTCTTATTCATACAAGGCCTATATCAGTCTGAAACCAATTCTTGAAGAACACCATCTAGCTCAGTGATGCTTTCTCATGTAAGTAAAAGCAATATTTTTATAACTTATTTAAATGTAGCAATATTGAATTGTATGTTCTCCAGCTTTAAACTTAATTCTCTATCTTTATGCCCTCCTTAACTATCCAGTTTTACCCCTGTACCCTACATAACCTATAAAAACATAACAGCAAAAATTTGATATGTATTTGAAGATTCCAGCTTCAAGACATAAATACTACTATTAACTAAAAACATGCAAGGTTTGAAGTGCTTTACACATATTAGCTGACAATCAACTATTTTTTAGGGACCATTGTTATTCCCATTTTACAGACACAGGTACAGTTAGGATTTGAAACCATACAGCAACTGTCAGAGTTTACTTAGTCAGGTTCTCTATTTTTCAGTTATGAAATAGATATAACAAAGTTAAAGGACTTGCTTAAAGACTCTTGTTAAAAATAAAACTGGAGTCAGAACACAGGTATGTTTCCTGACCAGTAAATACTTTTACAGGAAAAGTTATTCACAGTTCCTCAGATGCTCTAGACACATATTTAGAACAGGGCCCCTAAATGAATATTATAATTTGTATTGTATCTGTCTATCTCTCTATTCATCTGCAAGCAAGAATGAACAGGAATCCCACTAAAACACCCATCCAGACTTTCTCTCAGTCACACCTATAAACTTAGTCATTTCAATGAATAGCTCCATCTTTCCTTGTTCAAACTTCCTCTCTTTTATGTCTCATATCCATTTTGCAAATATTCTATTGGTTCTTACTTCAAAACACACCTAGAACCTAACTACGTACCCGCTCTGCTACAACCTACAGAATGTCTCATTCGGATTATTGCCTTAGGCCTGGGGCTTGGTTTTCTTGCTTCTGTCCTTGCTTTCCTTTGACTCTATTCCCAAAACAGAGGCCAAAGTAAACTTATTGAAAAGGAAATCACATCATAACAACCCTCTGTTCAAAGTCTCCCATAGCTTCCTGAAACAAAGGAAAATCTGAAGTTCTTAATGGCTCTAAAGTGCCCCTTGTTACCTCTCTGACCTCACGAACTGCGCACTCAACTTAGTGACCAGAGAAGCCTCTGCACGAGCTCTGTGCCTCAGTCTCTGCAGTTGCCCTTTCCCGTTTGGAACCCTCTGTCCCATTACAGCTTCCTCCCTGTGCTTGTGCTCAAATGCTGTGTTTCAGTAAGCTCTCTCCTTGCCACCCTATTGCATTATAAACCATGACATCTCCCATTACCAATGTTTCTTATTCCTTCCTTCACTTTTCCTAGTACTTTTCACAGTGTAAGGAATGATTTAGTTTGCTTATTCATCTTTATTGTGTATATCTCCACTCTAGAATATAAATCTCTCAAGGACAGGAATTTGTAATCTATTTCATACCCCAACTGCCAAGAACAGTGCCTGACACTTTTAGAGAGGCTCTTGGTAACTATGTTGAATGAATGCACACATGCTTATATACCAAATAATATACAAATGAATAAAAACTTCTTGCTATTTGTCAGAAATTATAAATAAAGAGGAGAATTGAATGTGTGGAGTAGTATGTGCCCCACCTCTGCCAGCCACCTGAAAGGGAGTGATGAGTTTCTGTCTGTGAATATTACAGGACAGAATCTCTCAACATTATCACAAGTGTTTTAAAAGTAATTGAGCAATTGTTAAAATGCCCAAATTTTCAAGTGATTTACTTAAACAAATAAATTAATCCTAACAGATATAAGGTATCTTTGTAATAATGTTACTGTCACTGGCATTCTATTTTGCTTCATTGAATCAAAGATAAAGTAGTTTCAACAGCATACTAGGAATTGCTCATTATTCATAGCCCACCGTCTGTTTCCTAGGAGCTTATAAAAGGCTTTCGTGAATACCTCCAGTCATTCCCCGTTCCCCTACTACCTCGAATATGTTTGATGTTACTTGTTTGCTTCATAATCAAAATAATCTTTTTGTTTCATGGCTGTCTGAAGACGTCCATGAAAACATGCGTGAGAAAATTATATGTTTTATATCGGAAACCATATTGAAAACTATTGGTGTAGCTAGTCTAGGGCAATCGTTTTGAAACTGTTTCTACTGCTCCCTGTGGTTCTTGAGATACTTTCAGAGGGAACCACAGGTAAAAATTACACTACACCTCCCGCTGTCTTGTTCACTCACTCACTTTCTCTCTCCAGTATGTAGTCAAGTTTTCTAGAGGCTACGTGATGTGTGATGGAGCAACAGATTGAATATAGATGTGGATATTAGATTTTGTCTATATCGCTTAAACCAGGCATTAAAGAGTTTCACAAAGCACAAAATAGTACCACCATTCTCACTAAGTTAACTTTATTTTTAAAAATATAGTTATTTTTCAGAAAATAGTTATGTTAACAATTAACTGGCTTATTATTTTTAATGAATTAAAAACATTTTACACAGTTTCCAGTTTTAGTTTCTAACTTGGTAAATATTGATAGATTAATACATATCAACAAGAGTTCTGTTGACTCTTCTATAATTTTTAAGAGTACAAAGGAGTCCCAAGACCAGAAAATTTTGAGAACACTGGTCTGAAGCTATTTTGTGTACCAACCCTAAGCTAGATTTCTTCCCACATGCCAACAATCATCTGATAACTGTGGACACAATTTTCTCATATGTCTGGAAACAGAACAAACCAGATTCAGGAATGTACGAGTCATTATAGCTAGCAGATGAATAGAAATAAAGCCAAGGGGAAGTTTTGGAAGCAAATTTTTCCACTTCAGTTGACAATTCTGTTCCAAGAGCTGATACGTAGCTTGGTCTGTGTCCTACCATTAGCTGTTGTTCTACTTACAGTAATCGAATAATATATACTTTTCTAGTAGAATTC